ATACTTTGGAGCAGGCACTTGGAATGAGAAGAAAGGGAATTGCTGGCTGTGCCAAGCCACTCCAGACAACTGGAGGGAAATGAGCCAGAGCATGGCTAGGTTGGAGAAAACCATGGACAAGGATGCCTACTTGACTTTCCTCATGGATCGAGGTAAGTCAATCAATCCTTTGTTTCAATTGCCCCATGTCAGTAATGGCACCATCATGCCAGATTGGATGCATGTTTGTGATGAGGGCAGTCTTGCTGTGGCAGCAGGGCAAATTCTGAAAGAATTACTGCCATCTTTTCCAGGCACTTCTCAAGATGAAAGATGTGCCAATCTCTGGCAAGAGATTCAAAAAATGTATGAAGAAAGAGATTTTCCAGCCTGCAAAAGGCTCAAGAAGTTGACTGTCAAGGATATAGTCAAACCAAAGAAAGCTCCAGTTTTGGATTGCAAGGCCCATGAAGTCAGGGATTTTTGCCCCCTTCTCGAACCATTGTGCAAAAGACAATGCCTGCATGAAGGCACCTGGCATGAGAAAGCTGTCTACAAAGTGGCCAAGTACTGCAGCCATATGTACAACAGTTTAGAAGCCTCCAACAAACAAGAACTGGTGAAGGCTGGAAGAAAATTCATCAGCCAGTACATGGCTTTAGAAGCAGAAGTCCAAGCCAGTGATGGCTCAGAGGTTCGATTGTGGAGATCAAAGCCCAAGCTCCACCTCTTGGCCCACATTTTGGATTTGGTTGAGCTTGGTAACCATCCAAAAGACAGCTGGAATTATAAGGGTGAAACATTTGCAGGGTCACTGCAAACTTTATTTTTTCGCAGAGGTGGTAAATTCCAGCCTGGCAAGGCTTCTGAAAAGGTCTTGCTGAGGTGGATGTCAGCCACTCCATTCCCTCATCTTGGACAAGCCAAGCCAGCAATGGCTAAATGAAATAGACAAAAGAGTGATGCAGCGCATAAATGTATCATGATGTTATATAAATATATAAGAATATCTATACATATACATTTCCAGAAGCTATATTTTTTGACTTCTAGAAGCCTCTTTTTTTGGCTTCTAGAAGCCTCTTTTTTGGATTTCTAGAAGCCTTTTTTTTTTGGCTTCCAGAGGCTTCTAACATAAAAAACCTGGAAGCCAAAAAACAGGCTGGCAGACAACTTTTTGGAGCAATGAAAAAAAAGTAGCTTCTCGGAAGCTAAGGGCATGCTCCAAGAGGGAAGAGTGTCGATGTCTCCGCCAAGGGGTTGACAGATGTTATTGAGTGGCACCAGATTCATAATCAGGCGACAGATCTCTGTCCCGTCTGGAGTCCAATCCTCCTTGGATACTCCAAACAGGCCGTTTAGGAGCGGACCGCTCCCCGTGTTGAACACCTGATCCTCTTCAAGGAAACAACACACTCCAGCTGACACCAACCCCGTGCAGAGCTCCCCCCAAGCTCCGTCCTCTACCATCACCCGAGGGCCCTTTGTACTTCCCCACTTTTCACGCGGCTTCAGAAAGGAGTCGAACGACAAAACATACTCACGGCAACCCTGGGTGCAAACTTCGTGAAGCGGGACACGACCTATCTCTTTGGGCAACGCGGGGGACACATTCTCCCATCGAATCCACCGAGCCACTCTGACCTCGTCTCCCTTGTAGTCGATGCCCTTGATAGAGAAGAAAGCCTGCCAGTCAACCCCCACAGTTTGAACTTTAAGTTGACAGAACCGTTCAACCTCTTGCCGGATCATGTCCAAGCACGCACTCTGTCCCGGTGCAACGTGCTCCTCCGACAGCACTTGTTCGCCCCAAAACGAATTCAAACCAACCGTAACACAAACCACCCAATTCAACGTCAACTCATGAATGTCAGGCCACAAGTTCTTCAACACCCCCATGGAAGTAGGCAAAGGAAAGAAGGCGGCCTTTCCCCTACCAAAGGACTTGCTGCGAAGTGGTGCAACTTCCATGAGTTTCTGAAGAACGATTGCCCCGATTCGATCGACCGGCGTCCCATCAAGATCCAAAGGCTCAAACGAATTTTTCAGTCTCGGTCGGCAAGTGTCCAAATCTTGAAGAGCTCCCCCCACTGGATCAAAGGGCGGAGGAGCTGGTGGAAAATCATAGCTCCTGGCGACGGCTGACGTAGCCGCCTCATCCACCTTGCCATCACGGCGAGGTGGGTCACAAATTCCCAAGCCAGCCACACCCGTCTCCATCAGCGGCCTTTCCTCAAGAGGGCCACGAGGTCCCGACGGGTCCGGCTTCATAGTCCCAGGCCCTTGAAGTGGGCTTGCATTGACGGCTGCTATTTCGCTGCCTGCTCTTCCTTCTGCTTCCTGCTGTCTCCTTTCCCTGAGGTGCGGCCCTTGCCCTTGTCGAACTCCTTGCGAACTGGCTGCCCCTTGTCTTTCTCCTTGCCCTTGCCCTTGGAGCGGCGGCCATCCGGCAGGCCTGCCAGATAAGTCACCTTTGCCTCGTCGGCCGCAGCCCGTTGGGCTGAGGAAAGCTCCTCCTTTGCTGCAAGGCTCATAGTGTCCTGCGGACAAACCTCTAGCCTCTGGGAGACTGACCAGTGAGAACCGCTGAGGCTGCTCTCGATCGACTTGATCCTCTGGGCGATCACGTCGGCGGCCCGTGCAGGGGATCCCCTGACCAACCAATCCAGCGCTGTGCATAGGTTCACAAGTTCCCGTTGTACTGGACCTGTAGACCGGCGAATGAGCTGCTGCCGGAAGTACGCCAAGCCAACAGGAGCCAATGCTCCCGGGCGATCGACCGACCCAATCGACTGGAGGAGCCCTGATCTCATGGCCTGCAAGGCTTGAGCAGCCAAAGCTCCCGGAGCGAACTCGGCGATCTTCTGTAGCCTGGTGTCCGGGTCGAAGAGAGTCGAATCCAGAGCTTCCCCATCGTGACTGCTTGAAGCGCTCGATGAGTTCTCCTCTGAGGACCCCGACTTGGTGTCCTTGGCCTTGCGCCCCTTGCGCCGAGCTCTCTTTGCGACCTTCTTTCGGACTTTCTCCTTCGGGTCGAGGCCTGTCCCCGCATAGAGGGCTTTGAGAGGTTTGATGGAGGCCGAACGCGGCTTCCGCCCACTCAGGTCGACCGTGCTTGAAGCCGAAGACGAAGTCCCTGATGCAATGTCCTCTCTCTTGGCTCTCACAACCTTCTTCTCCTTGGGCTTATTGTCCCCGGAGCTGAGGTCGCCCTTCTTGCGCTTTCGACTCTTCTTGTCCTTCTTCTTCTTCTTCGTGTCCTTCTTTCCCAAGGAGCGGGCCCGCTCCCGTGCCCCGACTGCTGGTTCTCCTCGGCCGGCAGGTAGGTCTTCTCCCCGGGCACGTAGGTCCTTGAGATCGTCGTCGACTGGTTCGACTGTGACCAGATTGTCGATCCAGCCCTCTTCCAAGTCGTCGGACTTCCTCAGACGGGCTTTCACGCAATGGATCAAGTCCTCGGCAACTCGGTCTCCTGTACAGTGCGCATCGCACCGATGTATCCTGACCAACCCCCGGGGCTTCCCCGAGGCGTACTTGAGAAGATTCTCGTTGTTCGTACCCGAGAGGTTGGCGTGAAGGTGAACTTGACCGGACTCGATCTCGACCCTGTCCACAACCCCCGCTGCTTGACAAGGTGCTGTGAAGTAGGATCCCTCTGTCACTACCACCTTCACACCGCGGCCCAGCTGCTCGAGCGGAACATCCCTCAATGAAGCCAGTCCACCATCCGACCAGGGCTCCCGATCCCCAGGAGCCACACCCACCGGAGGAACAACTGCTGGTCGTCGTAGAACACCTCGTCGTGGGATTCGTCTGACTGCAGCCTTGGGTTTTGCTTTGGCCTTCACACGGGCCTTCGGCTTTGGTTTTGCTTTGGGCGGCATTCTGTTCAGTACCGTCTCCAATTGTACCCTCGCTCACGGTGCTTGACTCCCTTGGTGCCCCTAGGGCGTCGTTGGATTGTCCAGGATGGGCTCCTCGAAGGGCTCCTCGGACGGTCTGCACTCGCGTGGTGCGGGGGAGGATAACTGGGCTCCACAGGTCCTGATCGGACTGGTGCCGGTGGAGGTGGCGGTAGCCGGGAGAAGTGGGATGCGACGCTTCCCTTGGGAATGGGTGCAAGTCCAAGGAAGCTTGGGTCTGATTCAACAAGTCCCGACCAATCGGGCTCCTTCTCGACCTGTGCAACCTCCTTCTGAGTGGACTCCTGCTCCTCAACACCCTTTGACTCCTCACGCTTTGCCTTCCTCTTGCGCTTGGGCTTCTTCTCTTCCTGACCTGCCTTCTTTGAGGACCTGTGCCTCTTCCTCTTCTTCTTTTCTGCGCCCGGATTACGGTTAGGAGCTGCCTTCTCCTCAATGCCTGCCTTCTTGTCCTCCTCGACGGGGGCTGGTGCGTCGTCTTGGATGGTCTCGTGAACCTCGGCTAGCGGCTCCTTGCTCTCCTCAATGTCACCCTCACGCTTGACTGCGCCGACCTCAGGAGCACTCCGGCGTCCCGCTTCTGGTGCAATGGGCTCAACGGGAGGTGCAACAACCGGCGGCCTCGAAGGAAGGGGATCTGAGTTGTATCCAGGCGGATTTGCCGCCGCACGCTCAGCAGCCAACCTCGGAGCTGCGAGCTCCGCCAAATCCAGAAGGGCACCTGCCGCCACTCGCAGGATTGTAAGGGCCTCCTGTTCCTGGTCCCTGCAAAGAAGCGGAGCCTCCACCAACTCACGAAGTCGACCAATGGTCCTGCAGCACAAGCAAAGGGTGTTCTCTGACCGTGGAAAGCAACCACACCTAGTGCAGGACATGCACCGGGGCCAAGCTTAGAACCACGATCACTGCGGAACAGGCATTCATGAGGTGCATCTTAATTTACGGGGGGCGAAAATACATAGAGTTTGTATATTGATGGTATGTCTTTGTTTGCGCACCCAAAGCTATCAACGTCAACACAAAAGCCCAGCGTTTCAAAGAGCTGATGTTGAAACTTAACTTTACTACCTTGGAAGAGTTTCCAAAAGGAATCCAGGCTTAGGAGCCATACTCAAAAAGGCCATGCTCAGACTTGATCGTCACCTTCTTCTTGCCCGGCTGGAGAGCCTCTACCCTGCCGATAATCTGTGCTTCGACACCAAAAGTCTTGGAGATGTCAATGATCTTTGCTGCCGCCTCCTGGTTTGTGTAGAACTCCAAGCGGTGGCCCATGTTGAATACCTTGTACATCTCCTCCCATGGAGTGCCCGAATTGGCCTGGATTAGTCTGAATACAGGTGCAGTCTTCATGAGATTGTCCTTGATCACATGGACAGCATCCACAAAATGCAAGACCTTTGTTTGTGCACCACCTGAGCAATGGACCATGCCGTGGATCTGCTGGCGAAGGCCAGCAGCAAAAATCTTCTGCACAATCGGTCCATACGTTCTGGTGGGCGAGAGAAGGAGCTTGCCCGCTGGGATGGTGCCGAATCCTTCGATGTCAATGGGATCTTCTAGTCCAACCTTTCCACTGTACACCAGCTCCTGAGCCATCATGGGGTCAAAAGACTCAGGGAACTCAGCTGCCAAGGAGTGTTTGAAGGTGTCATGTCGTGCTGCTGTAAGGCCATTGCTGCCAATGCCGCTGTTGTAGCCTTCTTCATAAGTGGCCCTACCCGAAGATGACAATGCGACAATCACATCACCGGCTCGGATGTTGGCATTGTCAATGACATCGCTTCTGGGCACTTGGGCAGCCACCGTGGAGTCCACAATGATGGTCCGCACCAGGTCACCGACATCTGCCGTCTCACCACCCGTGAGGATGATGCCGACTCCATGCCGGTTGAGTTCATCCACCAGGGCAGCAGTGCCAGCAATCACTGCCCCAATCACTTCGCGTGGAATGAGGTTCTTATTGCGGCCAATGGTGCTGGACAACAAGATGTTGTCAGTGATCCCCACGCACAGCAAATCATCCAGGTTCATCACCAAGGCATCTTGGGCTATGCCTGATCCAGCGAGGAGACCACAAAGGAATGCGGGGTGCAAGTAATGTTGCAGCAAGTTTAGTGGATGCACAAGCACCCTTCAGGATTGAAGCGTGCCAAACACATACAGTAAATTCCTGGATGTATAATGTTATATAGTTATATATACATATATCACAATCGAGACCTGAAATTCATGGACATGCCCCCCCGCGAATCCAGTGGCCTTTCCAAACTGAGATATCCCCGGTCTTCTTCCAATAAATGTACGCCAGCGAGGACTTTGTACCTGCGCCATCCGCGTGCATGACAATGGCTTGCGTAGGATCCCTGGAGATGAAGTCCGGAACCACTTTGCAAAATGCCCTTGGGAAAAGGCCCTTGTCCATGTTCCTCACAAGCTGCAATGGTCTTATTTGTGCTGTGAAATTGCAGAATATGACCAGACAATAGAACATCATCGTTGCTGCTTCTTCATACTATTTATTCATCGCTTGGCATCGCAAAACAACAATGCAAAGTGAATAATTGTTGGAGAGCCTCACGCATTCAGCACCCTACGACCTCTAATGCAGAAAATCATGAAGGACCGCCAGAAAAAGAAGCAAAAGGAATTGAAACCTTTCTTTTCTCTCTATTCTTTCCAATCTTTCCGAGACTTTATTTTTTTTGTTGTCAAGCGTCTTGATCGCTGCATGCACATCACCTTTGTCTGCCGACACGCCTCGCTGTTCATATCGCTTGGCATCACCGTCCATCTTGGCAGTCGAGGGCAATGAAGGGCTCGTCTGCGCCACAGGAGCTGAGTCCACCGACCTCTTCAAACACAGTGTGGAAGCCGGGATACTTGGGGGAACAACGTCATGGGCACAAGATCCTTGATGTTTCAAGCGTCTTCATTGCTTGATGCTATACGACAAATGGCTAGTTAGAATCGATCAACATATGTCAAACTCATTCAAATCCATTCAATTCCATTCTCTGTCATGTTGGGCTTCACCTCGCCTTCGAGACTTCCATTTTCCGGATGCCACCAGGCGTACCGCCTCAGGCAAGGCCTTGGATTCGGCATCCTCAATGATTCGCTCGTGGAGGCTGTCAGGAGTGTCGCTCTCGAGGACTCGAGCAGTTTCTTGTAACATGATCTCACCCTCAGCGTCCTGGCGGATGCAGCAGGGTGGACGGCATAGCTAGTGGGTTGGAGGCCATCGCTACTAGGGTGGAGGCCATCGCTAGTGGGTTTGAGGCCATCGCTACTAGGGTGGAGGGCATCGCTAGTAGGTTGGAGGCCATCGTTACTGTCCTGGCGGATGCTTGCGGCTAAGCTAAATATCTTACCGCTAGGCTTGTGTCCACCAGAGGTGGCTTATTCTGGAAATCATAAAACTTGAAAAAAGCACAAAAAACACAAACCGCAAAACAAAGAGCAACCAAGAATCAAGAAAGCAAAAAACATATGCAACCAAAAAAGCACAAGCAAAAGACAAGAGTAGTTTGGGGGGGCCGGGTAGGGTTAGTACTGGACAAGGGTCTATTCTGGTGCCGGGTCAAATGTCGCACTATGTTTTTTTCTCCGGCACCGGGTCAGACGTCGCACTTTTGGTATTTTTTTACTTTTTTCCGGCGCCGGGTAAAATAAATCGCACTTTTGGTCGCTTTTTGTTCGCGTTATTTTTGCTTGTTAACTTTTTGCAAAAACAAAGCAAAAAAAAAAAGAGTCAAACAAGAGCGAAACAACGGCGACAAAAAGCGTGACATTACACCCGGCGCCGAAGGAAAAAAGAAAGTAAAACAGCGACCAAAAGTGCACCAGAAAGTGGACCCCCCCAAAAGTGCACCAGAAAGTGGACCCCCCCAAAAGTGCGCCAGAAAGTCGACCCTCCCCCAAAAGTGCGCCAGAAAGTGCGCCAGAACGTGGACCCTTCCAAAAAGTGCGCCAGAAAGCCCAGCTGAGTTGTTCTATTCTTGCTTGCAATTTTGTCTGCTTTATTTTTTTGCTTGTATGATTGCTTGTGTTGTTCTGGCTGCACTTTGTGATTGCTTTTTTGTTTGGGCTTTGTCATTGCTTTTGTTTCTTTCTGGTTGCATTTTGTGATAGCCTTATTTTTTTCAAGATGATACACTTCTGGAATAAAGGGGTCCGGCAAACACAACGCTAGGCCTTCCTGGGTCCTACAGGGTGTCTCCTTGGCGATATTCTGCAATTCTGCACAATTGAACCGTTTCCGAACAGTACGAAGTACGAAGGACCTATACGTAGTCTAGTTCCAATGTCTGAAACAATCCTTCCTAAAGTTGCACCGGCACCATCCTGGTTCTGCTTTTTGGATGAAGTCTTCGCTCAGTCCCTTCCCTGCCTCTGTCTGCTGGTAGATGGTGCAGCCAGTGACGCACATCCCAGCATCCAGCACAAGCTGCAAAGGATCTTGTTCGATCTTGTAGGGCACCAATGATGCTCTGACTGTGATTAGCTTGCCAGCCCACTTCTTTCGCATGCTCAAAGGCAAGAGTTCCAAGCTGAAATCATCCATGACCACGATGAGATCAGCACGATGCTGCTCCAAGACCTTCTCCAAAAGCTCTTCCACGTGAACATCTGCACCTCTTGGTGGTGGTGCGAAGGCATTGCCGCCTACCTTGACCTCTGGCTCCACAACGAAGCTGGCGATGCCCGCAGTTTTGGCAACTTTCATCAGTTGACTCTGTGAGCTCAAGCTGATCACTGCACTGACCTCTGCTGGGAAGGCCCAAATCTCTGTAGCTTCCAACAAGGCTCGCAATGGCGTGGCCAATGCAGAGCCACCAAGAACCATGACCTTGGAACGCGAGACCATGTGTGGGTCTTGGAGAGATGATAGCACCTGAGGAAAGGGCAAGGACACACCCAGCTCTGGAAGCATCAACCAGCAACTCTCAGCTCCATCCACGTGAGCTTGTGGCTGTCCGTCCGATCTGGCAGCCAGCTCTCCAATGACACATGCCTCCTCGTCCATCTTCTTCAGCATGGTCATCACCTGATCTTTGTGCTCCTGTGCCACGACCAAGGCCATGCCAATGCCACAATTGAAAGTCGCTGCTAGCTCGTCACAAGGAATCTTGCATCTCGCTGCGATCCACCTGAAGACAGGAGGAAGCTCCCAATTCTCAGCCTTCAAATTGGCCTTCAATTGCTTTGGAAGTACCCTGGGGATGCTGCGAGACAAGCCTCCACGAGTAATAGGAGCGGCACCTTTCAACAAGCCAGCTTTGGTCAATGCCAGCAGGGCACGAACATAAATCCGAGTTGGTGCCAGAAGGACTTCACCAAAGGAGCGGGTAGGGTCAAAAGGAGCTGCCGCCTGATATCGGATGCCAGCCGCCTGCACCACAGAGCGCAACAAGCTGAAACCATTGCTGTGCAGCCCCGAGGAGTGCAGGCCAATCAGGACATCACCAGCTTGCATGGCGCTCCTGTTGGGAAGGAGGGAACCCTTCTCAACTGCACCGATGCAAAAGCCAACCAGGTCAAAGGTGCCCGAGTTGTAGACACCAGGCATCTCAGCAGTCTTTGCTTCTACGAATGCGCAGCCGGCCTCGTAACAACCATCAGCAGTTCCTTGGTTTACATCCAATGCCTGTTGGGCATCGAGCTTTGCACAGGAGTGATGACTCGAGAACATGAGTGGCTCAGCTCCTCGTGCTGCCACATCATTGGCACAAAGGGCCAACAAGTCGGTTCCAATGCTCTGGAATTGGCCCATAGCAGTTGCAACTTTCAGTTTAGTTCCAATTCCGTTGGTGCTGTTCACCACCTCTGCCTTGTCATAGCTCAAGGCGCTGAAGTCCATGTGGGCCTCTTGGACATCTGCGCTGGACAAGTTGCAGCCAGCTCGACTGGTGCGCTGCATGTGCTTCTTGGTGCTGGCTCCAATGGCCTCATCCATCTCGATGTCCACTCCTGCATCCAGATAGGTTGCCGAGCTTTTCCTTTCAGCTGGTCCTGGGTGGCCCTTGGACACGTGTGAATTGTGTGCCATGTTGGCGAGCTCTCCGCCACTTCGAATTCGTGGCCTAGGAATGGCGATAGCTGATGAACCAATGTCCTTCCTGTAGTGGGCATCTTGAAATCGAATGGAACGTACTGCCACATAAGCACGTTCCCGAGCCTCAGAGATTCCACCATGTGCCACAGCCGTGACGGCCAGGACTCGTCCACCAGAGGTGACCACCGAAGTGGGCTTGATCACCCCTCTGGTCATTGTGCGGTGGTGGATCATGCGCTGAAGTGCGGCAGCACCAGCGCTGGTCGTCAAAGTGAGAGAAAGGGCCTGATTGTCCACTGGCTTGGTACCGGCATGGAAAACGGTCACACCAGGAACAATGCCTGCACGTTCAAGACCAGAAATCATGTGCCCTTTGTCATAGGACCCAGGGTATCCACCACTGGCCATGATCACAGTGACAGCGCAAGTATCCTCTGACACACTGATGGCATTCTCTGAAAGCTCTCCGTTGGCACAAGAGCTGAGAACATGGTAAAGGTCACCTTCCATCAATGGGAGCACCACCTGTGTCTCTGGGTCACCAAAGCGGCAGTTGAACTCGATGACTTTGGGGCCACTTGATGTGATCATCAAACCTGCACCAAATGGATTCTTATCCTCTGTGTCTAAGTATATAGATTGCACCGCATGCCGTATGACATTGATCCATTAATACTTGAGCAAACCAACTATCACACTTGAACAGGCACAACCAATCCGCCCCCTCAAGCCTGCGAAAAGGCAACCAATGAAAGGCTTGCCCTCAGCTCGCATTCCGTTGATTGTTGGAAGCAGGATCTCCTTCTTGATTTGTTCCATCATCTCTTCCTTCACCACCTTGGACAAGGGGGCTTATAGATGCAAGGGCATGTCTATAGCTAAAAAGACATAGCAAGTGTAGACGGTAGACACACACACACACATATATATATATACATATAATACATACATATACATACACGTACAACATATGTCGAAAATTCAATGCAATACAACGCGCGTAAGATACTTGTAAGTATATGTGTTTATATTTATAATAGTAGTAGTAGGACACATGTCTACATTATATATGCAATAACTGCTAGAGCTAGGGGGAGTGAATGAGAGAGGTAAGGGGACGTCACAACCTAACATGATGCATCAGCAGGATCATGCCTCCAATCTGCACATCGGCCAGGGCACTGGAGTGGGAGCGAAGGCGCCCATGCCACCAGTGTTGGGGCCTTGATCACTATCAAAGGCACGTTTGTGATCCTGCGCGGGTGGCAGCACTGCGATGCGGTGCCCATCGCACAGCGCCAAGACAGAACACTCTGGGCCAAAGAGCCTGGGCCGAGGTGGTCTCCAGGTACGGAGCGATGCCGACTTGTTTCAACGCGATGCCGACGGGTGAACACTGAAATTTCTGAAAATGAAGCAGCACGTGCCACCGAAGAAAGCAGTTGCAGTATATATAGTAACTTTAAATCTCTCTCTCTCTATATTGAATTGGTTTGCCAAGACCAAGGCACCTTTCCTCAATGACTACCTCTTGCCCGGCCTCACCAAAGATTTTCTTCTCCAGGCCTGGGCAACAAGTGAGAGCAGGGGTTCAAAGAGACTGGACACACAGTGAATTTCAGCAAATGTTACAGTATCATATTCTAAAGGTGCAGTCACCATGTACAGTAGCGGTGCGAAGACTTGTGGCAAAGGTAGGACAAGACACACACTACCCCAAATCACACATCAGCCAAGCTGCACTCCCGAACTGCTTGCTTCGCTTCTTCCTTGCTCTCGGGCACCACAACACCCTTCCCAGCTGCCAAGCCGCTGGCCTTGACCACCACATCGAAGGGAACTGAATCGATGTACTTGAGAGCAGCGTCCAAAGTGGTGAATGTCTGATATTCCGCAGTGGGGATCTTGTGACGCTTCATGAAATCCTTGGCAAAGGACTTGGAGGCCTCAATCTGTGCGGCAGTCTTGCTTGGCCCGAAAACGGGGATTTCCTCTTCTCGCAGCTTGTCAGCCACACCATCTGCCAGCATCTGCTCCGGACCGACCACCACCAGGCCCACGTCATGTTGATGACAAAAGCTGATGACATCGGTGAAATCTGGGCCAGTGATTGGAAGATCCACATTTACGGTGGGTGCTGCATCGAATGGCTCTGCTTGACCATAAGAATTGCCAATACCACCATTGCCCGGTGCCACAAAGACCACACTGACCTCTGCACTCTTGCTAAGTTTCCAGGCCAAAGCATGCTCGCGACCACCACTGCCCAAAACCAATGCTGGGCGTCGAGCTTTGAGAAAGGACAAGGCGGAATGAATGCCATAGCATCGCTGGGTGCTCCCCTCCATCCATAGTGCAAAAGCACGGCAACACACTCGTGCTCCTCCGGGTGTAGGATAGTCACCAGTGAAGTACCAGTCTCCGCTGTGGTCTGGCAGAGCCTTGTGCAAGTCTTCCACACTCTGATACAGCACGTGCACTTCAGCCTTGCAATCACTTGGCTTCACATCCTTGGCAATGCGCAAAGAGATCTCTTCAGGAGTGAAGGGCTCATAGATTCTCTGGACATGATTCACAATGTGTCCGGACCTCAAAGGAGCCTTGAGCTCCTCCCGGCACATCTTGTAGACTTGATCCAAAATGTGCTCCATCCCTCTGTCTTTCATCAGTCCGATGGCTGCTTTGAAGGCTGCCAGGTCCCCCAGCTTTGCCATATCAATGCCATAGACATCCGGAAATCGAATCTGTGGGCAACTGGAGACCACAACGATCTGGGTTGGGCCCATCTTGTCCAGTGTCCTCAAAATCGCATTCTTCAGCGTGTTCCCACGGACAATGGAGTCATCCAGTGCAACGATGGCGTCCTGACCACGCCTGACTGTGCCATAGTGCACGTCGTAGGCATGCATGGTCAAGTGCTCTCGGGAAGAGTCCTCACCAATAGGCTTTGCAGCTTCATGATTTTCGCAACAAGTGATTGATTGTGCCTTGACAAACGGCTAAGCAACTCATATATATATATATATATACATGCTTGCAGCTGAATACCAAAAAACATCGTCCGGATTGAAAAGAAACATTCGTACATAATTTGTTAGGTACTTTGTGCTAGCTCAAACATAGCATCTGCCCTCCATGTCCTCTTGGATGAAGGTTCGGATCTTTGCGTCTTTGTGCACCACCTTCTCGGTTCTCACCTTGGCGGTGAGCAGCTCCTGCAGCTCTGCATCCGTAAGCTTTGGGGTGCTGCCATTGGTTTTCAGCGCTTGGAAAAGAGCTGCCTTCTGACCTTGGCGCAGGATAAGCGCCCCCGAATCTCGGGTTCTGAAAAGAACAAACCAAACATCGCCGATCGCAGCGTACTTTTTTGTGTGTCACAGCTGTTGAACGCGGCCGAGCAGCAATCCAAGTGGTCCTGGGCCTGCTTTGCTAAGCCCAGGAAGGCCAGTTCCGAGGTGTTGGGAATGAAGGATAGCCTTGATTCGAACAGCAGGGTCAGTTTTGACATCTGGAACTCAACACATCAAACGATTTTGCCAGGCGGCACAGTGTTGGCCAATGACAATCCATTTTCACCGAGGAGTTTCAAGAGCGGTGGTAGCAGCAGCCTTCCAAGTTCTTCACGCTCACGGTACACTCCAGCGTCATTGCCACGAGAGAAGTAGATGCGTTCGAAGGAGCACTGCTTCAAAGGCAATGGCACCTTGACACGAATTGGAAGCTACTAGTAGCAAGGGCATCGCTACTAGTAGCAAATAGCTACTAGGAGCAAAGGGCATCGCTACTAGGAACAAGAACGCTACGAACGGGGCTCCTGGCATCGGCAAGTCCATAACATCGAACACCATCACAGCGGCAATTAAGTGGGGCCAGCCACTGTGACCGACTGTGACCCTGGTATGAAAAACAGGGGTGACACTAGGGGTGACAAACAGCGGTGCGAGCCAGGTGCAACGCCCCCCAACCTTTCAATCTTATCTTCTGGCGTGCGCCGACACGTTTGGTTTGTTGATGTCTTTCATTTTTGTTTCGGACATGTCGACGCTCCTGTAGGCTGTGGTGGGTTCGGGCGAAGAAGTCCTTGGGAAACCTGCAGTATTACCGGAAATCAAGCTAGGGCCCGGGGACGGATGATGGGTGTGTGACCCCTGCTTTGGTTCTACAAGTGTGCTCGAGAGCCAGCCACGGCAAGGAGAATTTTTCACAACGCGCACAGTGCACAGATTAAAGAATGTAAAAAGGCGGCGAAAGTATATTGAACGAGCATGGGGTTGAGAAAAAAGCTCGCTGGCACAGTACTCCATGTCTTCACACATATCCTTCTTGCTTCTTCCGACGAGGCACCAAGATTTGATCCAACGTCCAAGCTCCACTCCTTTTGATGCAAAGAGCTTGACCGGGGGGGCAGTGGGTGCACATGGTCCCCATTCACATTGAACACCGTCTGGATCAATGGTGCCTCGCTGCAAACCACGATGAATTCATCATCGGCATAGTAGAATGCTGGACGGATACCACTAGGATCTCGCATCACAAAAGAATCTCCATGCCCCAGCAGACCTGCAATGCAATATCCACCATCCCAAAGACTTGAGGCCCGTCTCAAGATCCGTGCGATATTGATATTCTCAGCAATGAGGCTGAAACAAGTCTGAGGACTGTGACCCGCTGCTGAATACTTGACATAGAGGTCGTTGTTCTCCTTGTCAACAAAGTGGCCGATCTTTTCCAAAAGTGTAACGGTGTCCGAGAGCTCCCGTGGGTGTTGGCCCAACTGCACCAAGCTGCCAAAAAGGTCCTCATTGTTGGTGATGTTGAAGTTGCCCGCCAGAATCAGATTTCCTCGGGGTCTCATCTTTACGGCTTTTATGCTACAGCTATCTACAGCAACATTATCAGCCTCCAAACAAGCCGTGGTACTGTTGGACGTTTTCATTAGCTGAGCATCGTGTCATCCAGTTGCTCTCCCGGGTCACAGGGTGACATCGATCAAGGCTGTTCTCGCTGTCTGTCCCATAGCGGACATGGGCCAAGTAGGACTCGCCACAGAAAGGGATGTTGTCCTCTCCAGCACTAGGTCACTATGCGTCTAACAGGGAAGGCATGTACAGACTTCCAGGTTCCAACTTGGCCAGATGTGCAGGTCTATGTGCAATTATGTGCATGTGTAGAACACTCCGTAACAATATCCCGAAAACTATCCTTCTTCTAGAGCCTCTCTCTCTCTCTCCCCCCTCCCTCCCTCTGGAGAACCATGAAAGGTGTTTGGATGACTCATCCAAACTGTGACTGAGGCCGTTGAACACACATATATATAAACAATTATACGTACAGTATCCATCCCTGGCAGTCTTCTTAAACATTTTGCTTGGTTGGCAGAACCAACAATTCTCCAACCCTTCACACTAGCGACACTAGACCAGTCCTTGACCCACCTGGGATCCACATGGTCCTTGCCATCTTTCCCAGGAAGCTTTGCATCCTTTGGAGCTTTCTGCAACATCCCGGTGGCATGCTTCTCAACCCGGCCAAACAAATCGCCAATGGGATCCTCAGCGCGAAACAGCACCCGGTGAACCGGTCAACTTGGATGTCACCTGTCTCGGTGACAAAAACCAATAAACAAACAAGGGGTGGTGCCAAACAGCCAAGCAACTGCTGCAATGGACTTTTCACAGTGAATGTACTTTGTGCCTGGAGCCATGTCCAGTTTCACATTTGCCACACCTGCACCGTCTTGTCCACGATTTCGCTGCTTCTCCATGAGCAAATGCATGCGATTCAAACCGAAGAAGTGCGTGCCATACCTGACAAACCCAACCCAGTCACAGTGCTAAACTTAACCATGTCCAGGGAATGCTTACCACATGTCACTTACAGTAGAACAAGGCTTGAACAGCCAGCAATGTTCCATACAAGGTGCTTGTCATGGTAGTACTCAGGAGGTTTCAAAAGCCGCAGCATCGCAAAACCGCATTCATGCCCGATGTCTTCTGCCATGGCCACTACAGGGTATGGTCGCGCAAACTGAGTCCTTTTAGATCCTTTTGGAAGTCACTTTGAGCTTGAGACGGAGCGAACATGCCTTTTTCGCTTCACCTCTATATATAAAAAATAGAAACATCACGCTTTCCTTGAATCATCTTGAATCATAATGAAAGCCTGCTTATATGTTTGTTGTGAGGCTCTGGCGACAACAATGGTTCGGCTTGCTATCGCGCTACCTGAGCCAGTCCTGGTCCTCATCTTTCTTCTGCACAGCTTGCTCTGGATCATCTATTCCCAATCCGTCTTGTTTAGCCGCATGGGCTGCATGGTTCAATTCTTCCTTGGCAACCGTGGAGTGGAGTGTAGCAACGGGTGCATAACAAATAGAGTGACACAAATTGCGTTCCTTCCCACAAACACCCCAATCTTCCATGGCTCAATGGCAAGCGTCCAGGCGCAAAAGCTCTTCACCATCCAGCAAACGATTCTTCTTTGCATGATCCATTCCCAAAGAAAGATGCTCGAAGTTCATCCTTCGCTCCAAATCGCTCCAAGGGCAACAGTGCGTCAAGTAGAAACACAACAAATCAGGTGCAATAAAGTTTAATGAAGCATGAGAGTGAGTTGTCTTGAGCCGAGTAGTTACCATAAGTTCATGTCATAGTAAGAAAACATATGTACTGGCTGCTCATGACTACTTTGATAGCTTAGAGAGCAGCGGCACTTGAAGGAATGATACAAGGGGAGGACAGCAGGCAAAAGTGCGAGCTGCCTTTCCTAGCAACACTAAAGCACCCCTCGTTCCAGCTTTTCACAGTTGAACTTCAATAGTCGGTCCGTGATCTTCCATCGGCCACGGTAGATCACAGCCTGCCTCCAAATGCCCTCAAAACCCTCTCAACCAATGGGAATCCAAACGCCACCAGTGGTATGACACTACGGAACAACAGCTCTCGCTTCCCCCTCCTGAACTTTTGATTCAGCGCGAAAAGCTGGACCTAACACACATGTTCATATACATGAGATGCTCAAGCTTGCGCTTGCCCCAGATGCCATCACTCATTGTCTACGGCATTCTATGACAACAATTGGCAGTGGGTCAAAAAGCTGTTGCCTCATGTTGCCTCCCAAGCCCCGATGGTGAAGGAAACATGACAACAACCTGTGGAACTGTGGGGTAAGGGATCAAAAATAAAAATAGAATCAAAAAATATTCAACGAGGATCAATCAAAAAACAAAGGGGATCAAACAAAAGTTCTAGCCCACTGAGGATGATTGGGCTAGTAGTAGTAGCAGTAGCAGGATTAGGAGACCAAGGGAAGAGGATGGAAGGAGTAGGTGACTAGTAGAGTGTACCTCCCTAGGAGCTCCTTCCTAGTAGGGAGCTATTTCTACTGGTGAACCATTTTTCGAGTAGGGCTACTCAATGACTGGACGGCTACCATCATTGGGTACCTACTTTCCTCCCAGGGAGCTGCCTCTAGTAGAAAGCAATCAAGTCTCTATTTGCGCAAGCAGGGGACCAGGAGACCGAAAGACGAGCGGAGTAGGAGAGCAAGAGACCAGCGGACCAGGAGACAGAAGGACCAGGATACCAGGGGACCAGCGGACCACAGGACCAGGAGACCGGAGGACTAGGGGACCAGTGGACCAAAGGACCAAGGGACCTTATTACCAGAGGACCAGCAGAACACAGGGCCAGGAGAGCAGCAAAAGAGGCCTATCAAGGAATATTGTTTTTTTTGATTCGCTTTTTATTTTTATGTTGATAACATTTTTGTTTTTGTTTGATGCTCGTTTTATTTTTTTTTGATACCTATGCCGGAACTGTGGGCCTTATTAGACCCAGGCCAACTTGAGACCGAGCTTGGACTTTCGACAAGTCTTCTTAATGCACACATCCCGCCAGCGCCTTGGACAAGCTCCAACCGACCATCAAGGTCATCGCCGGCCATAGCTGGCGCATGCTTGTCCGTTGTACTTCGCTCGGCCCTCTAGGATTCGAGGTAGCGACTTCCATCACTGCATGGAGTGGGCAGTGTCAAGTCAACTTTGAACTTTGTTTGGTGATCCTCAGTCTTTGCGTTCTTGGCTTGTGTCTGTGGGCGTTGTGACGTATGGCTCACATCTTTACATTGGATGCTTGTAGCGATGCTGAGTGGAATTGCAGGGGCTCAAACTGATGTTGCACAAAATCACAAGACCCCACCCGACCCACCTGACTCGCTCAACCCACTCGCCCCCCCGGTGTTGCGACTGTGGGGCGGGTGGGGTGAGCGCGGCAAGTGGGACAAGTGGAGCCCTGGGGCTCATGAACTAGTTTGAGGCCAAGGCGTGCCAGGGAGAGCTTGACATGTTTCGTGCAACCAACTTCAGGGCTGCAGAGTGTGATGAACGATCAACAAGCTGGGCACCGGACCAGGTACACAGAAAGGGACCCTATGATTCCTTATGCAAGTTGTATAGCCGCTGCCACCCTGCCCCCGCTGCACCAGCGATTCCACGTCATGTAGTACTGCACAATGCATATTGTAAGATCTTGCAAGGGACATTACATATACGGCATATAGCCGGCCCCTTTCCACCATGCAGCTCCGTTGCAGAGTGGCTTGTGTCAAGAAGTATTCCACGACCTCATCCCGCCCTTCCTGCGCCAGGTTAAGAGTGCATGTGCAGTGAAGCCCAGCCTACAAAACCGTGATCATAGCATCAACCAATCCACAAAGTACACTTCACACTACACACTTTTACTGTACTATGTCTACTTTCGCACCGACGCTTGAATATTTTTAGCAGCACCTAGCAGGAGGTGCTGGCCTTCGCAGCCAGCAGCAGGGGGGTTTCCCTGCACTGTGCAGAGGCAGAAAAAAACAGGTTGTGCCCAATGAATGGCTAATCTCCGTCAGTCAACATCCCTAAATGCAAGTTCTCTCCCCGCTCTCTCTTGCAATTGCAACATTCACGCCCACGCCATCACTGTCAGCTGCATCAGCGCAGGTTGCCTTCGAAACTGCAAACCAAGTGCCAGGTCCCGATTGTGAGCTTTGCCATGTGCCCTATGTGAGAATCTCCCCTCCAGCTGCCTTCCCTTCCAGAAGGCATTTCACCACTTGCATGTGCCCCTCCTCCGAAGCCCTTGACAAGCCACAATGACAGCAAAGGTCAAACAAATCGGTGGAGACAAAAGTGAGTTACACTCATCAATAATCCTCAATAGCTGCATTATTGTACCCTCCCCGAAGAATGTATACCCTTCCTCAATAGGCAAAATGGAGGGGGCCAACCCCCTTAGCGGAGGCGAGCAAGCAGCAAGGGGTAATGTTCCTGCTTTCCTTTTTGTCCCCAAATAAGGGCAAGTACAAAGCAGTAAATTTGCACAACATTTTTTGTTTCATTTTGTTGCTGGTTTTCCCCGAACTCAGCAATCCGGCTCTGGGCCGTCAAATTCAGGGCCCGACAAGTGCAAGGGAGTTGACCTTGGTTCTGCCGCTCGGCTCAATTTAATTTTCTTGGATCACTACTCAAAGAACAATCTTCCATGAGGACATCATGTTCGACAGTGTGTGCTTCAAGTGTGACCTCCAACTCTAAGTGAGCAAACCCTTCTTCATCTGGCAGATCTGGACTGTGACCTTTACTCAAGAAAATCCTGGCATTGCAGCGTTGCATCAATACACGCGTCTCAGACCAACGTAGTCTAGGATCTTGAAGCATGATGGCCAGTACCAGCTTATTCATTCCTGATAACTTTCCGACAAAGTCCGAGCTCTTGCCTCACCATGTTGATGTTGCCCTCCCATGCTGCATCATGAAGCGTGGTACTCGCTACCTGCACGCTCCCACTAGAAACGCAAAGTCTGCCAAACAATAGCTATTCGGCTATTTTATGCTATTTTCAACACAGCATTCTTATCTATCACGCTTTTCACACCGAATTTGCATGGTCTCTGAATGTCTCTGATGCCCACCTGCACATCACTCTTTCTTCGTGCCTCATTGTCACACACCAAGGCCAAACTTCCCCTGCGTTGTAAGATGTTTTAATAGCCCCGTAACCCCGGCAACTACGCTAAACCAGCACAGAATATGTTTAAATCCACTGTCAACCTAGCCAGTCACGAATCTCATGCTATCCCAACATTCGATACCTGATCCGGCTTGCTGACATTCTCAATTCACGACTCTTCTCGTGGCACGTGATGGAAGGTTGATCTTCATGACCCGCATCTCGAAGGCTGCACCTGGAGCTTCCTTCACAAGCCCCAGGCAGATTTGGGTGTCGTTGGGCGAGGTTGCTTGGAAACGCCGGCCTGCAAACATGCGTCTTGGCTCTTGAACAGGAATAATCTAGGGCAAATGAGGGCAAACTCTCAGCCATGATTCAATGACAAACTTATTTGTTTCCGAAAAGAGCCGGCACAACCTCAACAGTTCACACAGCTTTTTGCAACGCTTCTGTCCGCAGTTTGGATCAGGCTCGCTGATGAAAATCTGAGCAAACGTCTCCTACTGTCCTACTTTTTAAGTACTTCCTTTCCTGCAGCTCCACAAGTGGCAAGGGGCTAGCCACTGCTCACAAGCGGCTAGCAGGTGCCTCACTCTCCTGGGATTGGAAGGGGATTTTGGTTGCTTGCGGCAAGTCCTTCAGCGCAATGGCGTGAGTTCGGTCACGCAGGATGCCCAGTGGCCTGCCGTAGTGGTTGTCAAAATATGCGATCCAATCAGCCAAGCACTCCTTGTCATCTTGCTCTAAAACGTACTCAAACTTGTCCACGGTCTGTTTCTTCAAGCTCATCACTGCCAAGTTGTAGGTACCATCATGCCCGGCAAACATAGCGTAAGGCCCGCTGGGGCCGAAGGAATCCTTTCCCTTGGAGACATCATAGATTCTCCCCAAAACTGATGTTAAAAGAGGCTTGGCTGGGTCGCTGCCATCAAACAATGCCAATTCGCTGGAGGTGAAATTCCGGTCTCCTGGCTGCATGGGCGGTGGAACTTTGGGTTTGGCTGATTTGGTGGCCTTGACCGAAGCATAGGACACGCCGTCCACCTTACAAAGATTGTAGGCTTCATCAAAGGTTGCGAGAATGAGCTGGTAGATCTTGCGCATGCAATTCAGCATCCGCTCCCGCAACTCACTGGGAATGTCAAGCTTGTCCAGTTCATCCAAGTAACATTGAACACGAGCGTGAGTCGATTGATCCTTCGGAAGGGCAAAGGTATAGAATTCCACACCGGTCGGTGGAGTCTGTTTTGCTCGGTTGCTCACCTTGGTGCCCAGGAACTGGCCACCACTGAGTACCGCATTGTATTGCAGAAAATGGTGACAAAGCAGGAACCACGGATCTGTGGAGTCCTTTTGGAGTTGCTCCAAATATTGGGCCGTGGCTGGGGAGACCTTTGCTTTGGTCTCCCAGTCAGAGCCCCACCAAACGGCCAAATCCTTTTGCAGGGCTTCTCGCCGATGAAGCACCTTGTCATCCATAGTGGACAAAGGAGCCCCAGCAACGGCACAGTGGTTTTCCAGTGTGCTGAAAATGTGGTAGAGACCGGCCAGGTACTGGCAGTACGCCTCAATGTCAAAGGTTTCTGCATAAATGCTCCTCATGAAAGGATGCTCCATTGTTGCTTCATGCTCTTTGTTCGTTCTGGTTAAGAACCAGCTGGAATTCCCGCGCGCATCTGGAGCTAGGCCTGAATAAGCTGACATGTTGGGGCCACGGGTGCTCTTGAGTACCTACTGCGGTCGAGGGAGTCAAGGGCATTGGAAGCAAGGCGGTCTGCAACTAGCAATGTAAGGACCACTGCTAGGATAGAAACTCATAGGAACAGGCAACTGATTATCTTACCCTATGCTGCACTGCAAAGAAGTGGGGCCACAATCTAAGGTAGCAAGGTCTTACGGTCTTGGATTCATCGGTGCTAAATAAAACAAACATGTCCATGAGAGTGTGCAGTGATTGCTTGTTTTGGCCTTACCACTTTCCAATGTGCAGCAAGCACCCATTGCAATTGCAATCGCGTCAGCATTTCTAGCTCGAGACTTGCACAATCAAGCCTCCCAATGTGAATTGAATAATATTGAATAGCTACAGTATGCTACAGTGAAACACTGCATATTTCTTCAAGTGTCTCGGACCTGGTGACCTATCTGCAATTTTTGCACCGTGAAGTTGTCTTTTCTAACGCAGTAGGTCTCTGCATGAAAAACGCCGTGTCTTTCAAAATTGGTCCTTTCTCGATCTTTGGGTGTGCAGTATGTGCCAGTTTCTGCCATGGGTGCAGTTGCCTGATTGGAGGAGTTTGGCCTGGACTCATATTTCTGCGGAAGTGCTACTTTTGCGTTCACAAAGACTCGGAACAAGCGGCCATGAATGAAACACTGGTCACCAAAATTTGTGGCATCACTCTCCAAGCTGAACGGTTTCAACTCTCTTGTCTTCACAGGTTTTTTCCACCTCAGTCTGGTGAAACGCAACGCCATCTCACCTGGACGGCGAGGCCGTAACTGCTGCATGGAATGGAGTCAGTTTCTGTCGTTTACTGAGCTTCATACGCTCATGTATGGCATCGGCGATGTTTCTCATCCTGACTCGAATTGATCTGACAAGAGTCTCTCGTGCACTCGCTTCCCAACCTCGTAGGGGAACTGCGTGTGAAAACCTGACAGTTACATTTACATTCTCGACTGTTCAACTTGACAGCCCAAAGTTCACTTACCGAGGGCATCCACAATGCCTTTTCCTGTTTCCCCAGCAAATAAATCTTGACACACTGCCCATGCTTGACAGCATAAGCGCAAATTGCGCAGCTCCAGCAAATTTGCTCATGCTTGGAGGGAACGTCACGCACTTGGAATGGACAGAGTTCCAAACTAATGGAGCTGGATGGTGAATCTCATAAGCAATTAGTCAATGATCTTGGTCCAGCCTGGTGGATAGATGTATTTGCCAGGTCCCACCTGCCAAAACCAACATTTAAAAATGACTCCAAGAGAATGAACCCACAACTGTTGGTATGAGGCATGAGGTGCGTACTTTTCCGCCACATGCATATACTATATACATCACATAACGTAGATCTATCTTTAGACCGATATATTATCTATGAGTCTATGGTCTATGACTGTCCATTCTATGATCCATGTATCCATACATGTATATTCACACCTGCATGTCCGCGACATCTTATCATAAAGAAAAACAATGACTCTATCACGATCCCAAGTATGCTCAGGCAAACTGAGCCACACAAATGACAGAAATGCGACCGAGGCAAACTGGAAAGCAACTCTTGAAATGAGCTGTCGTCAACCTCTTAAATTCTTAAATAGGGAAACTTTGCGCTACCTCTGGCGGGCTGCTGACTTTGTCCTCCAGTGCATGCCTGTGCACAAAGCGCAACGCCAAACGCTTGGCGGGAGAAGGTCGTTTTTTTTGGTGCTCTGCACGCCAAACCTCGGTGTTCTATATCTTTGGCAACATGGATGTGGAAGGACATGCTGACCGACGAACATGAGGGCCATGAGGGCCCCTGATGGGGCCACTGGACACGATTCGGCGAACAAACTGCAACCACTGACAGGGTGTAGATGTTGATTTTCAGAAGCCAAGTGCAGTGGTAGCAGGATCTACTCATCTACAAAGTCACAAATCTTCTGCATCCATCCGTCAGTGTGGGACAAACACCAATTCCTACATGAGCCACAGGGGAAGCATCCACGAAGCCCAGCCAATTAATGATAATAATAACTGTGCAAGTGATGCTCTGAATGCCGCCTCTCATTGGACAACTTCTGGGCACGCGCGTCCTCCTTCGGGAAAGTCCACCTCAAATCGAAACTGCCTGCCCCCCCAAAAGATTCTCGGTCTTGAAGATTGAAGGAAGTCACTCTTCAATCTGCGCAAACAAGTGTCACGGCGCTGTAATTATAGGTGCATTATAAAAATAGTACAGTATATATTGTGGTTGAATCTCTTGTGGAGCCAAGCTTAAGGTCGAGGCTTCGGTTTGTTGACGTGATGGCTAATCCACCTGAGGTCCTGAGGGCAATCCAGAATGGTCATAGAGTCATAGCCATAGCTCAAGAGCAGCTGGCAGAACATCTAGGCACTAGGCATCGCAAACACAACGACCGGAATGAATCCGAACATCCACAACTGCTGAAAGTCCTCCTTGACTTTCACAGGGTCATAACCAGGGCCAAAAACAGCTGACTCGTCAACCTGCAGATTGGGAATCTCAAATGGTTAGAGATGTGCAGTTCAGACCTAGAACAAATACATGCAGCAACAAAAGACACAACAGAGGAGGGATTCCGCAAGCATGGCAAAACTCTCCGTTCAACGTACTCCAAAATCAAGGTTCTTGCTTGCATTGAAACGCTTGTGAGTCCAAACACCAAAGCTAGGGTGTCTAATAATTCATAAGCGCCTTGGGAGGTGGATGCTTGATTCTCAAGCTGTAGGCTGGCGCCTGATGAACGAAAAGGGAAAACATTGAACTGCAACTGGTTTATATAATCCAAAAATAACAATGTTCGTGTCTGTCCACCGCGTGCGTGTCGTCTGCTTCAAAGACACAAATCTGAACCACAAATCTGACACAAATCTGCAAAAATACTTTCACATGTGATCTTGCATTTGTTTGCAGTTACATCTCACGTTTCGCAGAAGGCTGCAAGCTGTCTGGCCTGCTTCATTGGCCTGGACTGTTCATCGAGGCCTCCAAGTCAACTGAGAACAAAACGGAACTAGCAAAAGCGGCATCGATGCTCAAATACATCACTCCGCGCCTTTTATTTGCAAAACCGTTGGGACAGATCTGTTGCGACAATATGACAATCAGTGACTATCAGCCACTGTCTCCCTTTGGGATAAAACAGCTAGTACATGGCTCACGTAAATGCGGACACCTGTCACAGCAAAGTCCAGCTTGCGGCATGTCATTCGAGGTCATCAATCTTTGCAACAACTGGTCGTCAACATCGTACAGGTCATAGAGGCTGAGCATTCACCGCTCTTTGCACTGCTTGAAGGCATTGGTCACAAATTCTTCATCGAAGGATAGGCACGCAATGTCACGCATGCCCCCACTGCGTTACAATCTATCTCTGTAGATGCTCTCGCCCTCTCATACCTCCTCCTTCCTCATCTTTTCCATATTCGCGTTCCCCTTCAGAAGCTACAAACAGCTTCTACGGATCGTTCAAGATTGTCTGAATCCAATCATCTCATTCAACCCAGTTCTGTCCCAAATGCACGGCTCGGGCTTGATTCCAACATCGGCCTTGTCAAAGATCAACGGCCCAACCGGCTTCTAGCGAGTCAAAATGGAGTCAAAATGGACCATGTACTTCATGATAAAATACTCTCTCTCTCTCTATATATATACAATATAGTGGTTTGGATTAGACTGTCTTGACAGGCAAGGTAATACCAAATCTCAGCCTGTCGTCCATCTGCCCAGATCCCAATGATGGGTGGGGCCGGAGCCGCGGACGAAGGTTGGAGCCATCGACCAAGTAGAACAAATCTCGTAGGTCACGAAGCAAGGCACTCACCACCTGTCAGGCAGGCCATCTTGCTATCTACTGTTGCATACTCAGGTAAGCTACAACTTGACTTGAGATTTCAGGGCAGCCAAAAGAACATGTCCCCGGTACAGTTCTGGGTGCTGAGAGCCTGATAGCTCGTTCAAACTCTGGCACGTTCTGACCCTCTTCTAAACTGTTCTCATTCATAGATAGAAAAGTAGATCCCATCTAGATCGCCACTAAATATGTATTGGACACCGTTGCTATCTATTTGGGGATCACACTACATGCAATTTGCATTTGCCGGGATGTCTGCAGGTTCTGTGCGTTCGGCCTCGCCACTGGTGCGAAGTAGGTCTCGTGCATCAGCGCCTGCACAGGTCGATGCTTGATCATATTTGCACTCTAAGAACTCAAGATAGGGATCTGACCGAACTGGCTTTTCACGTTTCAATGCGCAGCAGTGAACACATAAGCAACATGACATAACATGACATCAAACTGTTGGGTTTGATGGGCAGGAACACTTGTTCCACAAATGTTCACACACACATATATATATATATATGATTACACCCGTGCCATGTAACTTTAGTCAACGCCAGCCTGCCGTGTCCAAAGCATAGGCCTCCTCTGAGTGATTTGTAGCCAGCGATCCTCGAGCTTCCTGGAGGCTGTCGAAGCTCTTGCCTCAGGTGAATGTCGACAGCAGTCACAGGTACGATCGGCCCCAAACATATGTCCTGATGCATAGATTGCCTTCTCTCTCTCTCTCTCTTTCTCTCTCTCTCTCTCTCGGCAGCGTCTGGCTACAACGCAGCCGTCCCAGGGACGCGCTGAGGAAGGAATATATATACCACTGCTGTACTGTACTTTTGTGCAGGGCACACATCTTTGGGGTTGGTGAAGGTCATTGGGCCTAAGAGGTGCACTTGACTTCTTGCAGGACACTTGTATGTTCTGTGCAGATTGAACAGCTCATCCAGGTTGAGGAAGCCAAAGGGATCATAAATAACAAGGCCTGAACACCCAAAACTCCCCATGACGCTTTCCCCTTCCCGCTAAGTCCCGTGCCTGCAGTCTTTAGGCGCATGGCCAGATCGCTGAACGCTTCCGCCAAGCGCTTTTGATCAGAACATAGTTCCTACACATGTTGAGAAAAACACATCGCCAAAAGACCCTACATGGTTTCCAAAAGACCCTAAGCTCAGCTGGATAAACCACTTTCAGAAGCTTCTTCATTGTGCTTCACCTGCCATTTCATGTGTCCTCGATTTCGTGATCCAAACGCTTCACCACCGCCGGGCCGGGAGCTGGTAGCGCATTGGCCTGCTGTCTTCGTGCAACCTTCAAAACGATACCTGTTCATACATTTTCCTTGAAAAGGCATTCTCGAACAGGGGGTTGAACATAGAGATAAAACGGATCCCTGGTTTTCTTGTTCCCCTTGTTTTTCTGGAAACACCGCCTATGCACGGGGGGACACGCTCACCTATCTTTTTTTTGAGCCTTTGTTGCCATTGTATGAACAGGCGGGGGCAGGGTCAACAAAAATCCAACAAACTGTTGAAATAGGGGGAGACAGGTCCAGAATCTAGGCCAAAAGTATGCACACTATGCGGTACAATGCTACCAACAATTACAAAGATTTTGGCAGGTCTATGCGGGTCTGCGGCTCCTTGGGGGGATTTGGGATTTTGATATTTGTTGTTTTCTTTTATGTTTGTCTCCAACCCTCTCTGGCAGGGCCACCCCTGTGTGCCACATACATTTCGACCTGAAAATTATCATTCCATATCGTTCCCTTCATTCTGGGAAATAATGTATGGAAGGGGGCGGGGGACATCCATAATCATCATATTCATGAACCTTACAGCTTACAACTTCCCAGTAAACAACATGTACAAACAAACGTAACTTCCCCGGGAATGAAATCTGGAGACAGGGAATGCATATTGAGATCAGGTTTGGCTCTTCATTTCACATGCCTTCAAAGATTTACATTCTTGTTGCATCTTGCCCTTCTTCGGCGTGGAGCTGCGGAGCTGCCCCCCCACCAACTGATCCTAACCTGGCGCAAATACTGAACTGCTTCCTCTGCGGTCTGGTGCAGTAGGAACCAAAAGTCAGCACGATCCTTGGACAATTGGAGGCGACGGCTGTCTTGGAGCTCAACCCAAAAAGTACACCTTGCTTCAAGTCACATTTTCTTACATGGAGCTTCTATGATTGGCAACTTCTCAAAGGGTAGTTGACAGGGGATTGACTTGAATCTGAAGAATTCATAAGAATTCCATTCCATCAAATCGAAAACCACCCACATCATCGATCCTGAGCACTGTCATCCAAGCTTCGCCCCTCAGCTTTCCTAGCTCATCGTTCACTCGAGTGACACGCGTCACCAGCTGCTTCACCGAACTGATGCGAGATTGTGCTCGGGGGTCCTGGCATTAGAGCCAGGAATGTTAGGAGGCCCACAATTTCCCACAAATATAACCATTGAAGTTTTGTGTTATCGGCCGCGCCCGCCACCGTGACCAAAAATGAGAGAGAATTGTCATGACCAGCCCAAGCAAACCCAAGCAACATGTATTCTCTCAGGCTCAGGTGCTTGTCTCCGTTGTCTCAAACAAGCGCCGCCAAAGGCTGCTTTGAGTTGGTTTGGGTTCTTACCATCGACGCTCCTTCTGCTTGCTGTGCTACGCATTGCATCTTGGAACGAAGGAACACATGTCAAAGGCGGGTCAAAATGCAATGTCTGGAATGTATGGTATCCACTAAATCCGCTCATTGAAAACTTCTGCTAAGAGTATGAACCTGAGACAGGAAGAACGAAAAGCCAGTGGAAACAAGTGTGCAGGTCCTGGTTCTAAGGCAAGAGGCAAGGAGCAGTTGACAAAGCACAAGTGCCAAGAGGCTGTGTGTGAACACACTGCCAAAGTTTGCAAGGGCATTTCAATTTCCCGAAGCAATCCATCAGCATGCTTCCAGCAAACAAGCTGCACTTCAAAAGACCAGCAGCAAACCAGCAGCAGCCGCGGTGGCGAAAGACCAGCACCAAAGACCAGCGGGAGCACCAGCTGCAAACCCCGTCTTCATGGCTCGTTGTTTGGGGATGTCTTCGAGATTCTTCAGGTGGCATTTTGCGCTTGAATCGTTCGTGCAGAAGCGCAGAGTCGCTTCTGCTACCACACAATGAATATTAGAGGGAAGACGCATGAGAATGAGCATGAGGACGAGGAAGAACCTCAGAAGAAACTCCTGCATTGTAGGAGGATGAGGAAGATTACCATTGCTTTGTGCTCCCAAGATTCTTCACGCGTCAAGATTGAACAGCCAGTTCTTCTGTTGGTCAGTGCTTGTCACCTGAGAGAGCTTGTGCCTAGGGTCGATTGTGTTTTGCAATTTGTTGGGCAGTGTCTTTCTTGTTTGCATTCTTCCTTTGGGTTGGTTTTGCTTTTTTTTGCTTGTTTTTCACGTTTTACCTAGCGCAAGCCCAAAAGCACTTCATAATCCTACAAGTAGGAGGATGAGGAAGAACGAAGAAGGTGAGTTGCATGAAGCAAAGAGGTACATGAAGTCGACAGCTGGAGAAGACTCCAATCACGCCAGGCCATGGCACAATAAGGAAATGGAATTAGGTTGTTTGGGAGGAACCCGGAATCTAAAGCTTAATTGAGCTCAAACTACCTGAGGCAGCCTTTCGCAAAATACATGGACTGGAGTTATTGCAGCTTAATGCTCGATCAGCCGATCCTTTATCTTCTGGCTGGCTCGGTGATGGTCTAGTGGCATGCTGCGAATGCTGATGGAGGGTTGGGCTGCAATCACTCCAGTCAATCTGTTTCACCAATGGGTTCCCTACACAGCCGCTAAGGTGATGTGTTCGGCTAACGTCCTTGCAGGCTTCGGTCGCAGTTTTTGTGGTGTAGGGATTGTTCACACGCAGTCTCTTCGTACTTGTACTTTGTCAACTGTCCCTTGCCTTTTACCTTTCAAGCAGGACCTGCATACTTGATTCTACTGATACTGGCTTTCATTCCTCCCTTCTCAGGTTGTTTTTCCTTTTTTTTTTCTCTCTCTCTCTCTCTCTCCAGGGTTGAAGCAGGTATTTTCTACATCACCAGCTCACACAACATTGTCTCCACGAAAAAGGTAGAAACACTTCCTTCGTTTTCCTGGTGTTCGTCCACTTGGCCACGTCTGCCCCCCCCCCACACCCTAATAACTCACTTTGCTCGCAAAAACTATTAATTGAAAGCCTAGCCGTGTTCGACTGAGGTGTCCTCTTGGCCCTGCAGAAGCGAGTGCCGTGCTGCTTGCTCAAGGAGTAGAAGCATGGCCTCCGATGCACACAACCATATAATATGGCTAAACTATGCTAAACTTAAACGTGAAACTTACAAAGGCTCATGACTGTTCAAAGTGCCTGTCTGCCTGCAATTGAACCTCGTGTGGTCACATGACAGAGGCATGGCGGCCACGTGACCCCTCCTGGTGCAACTCCAGAATACCTGCAATGCCTTGGTCGACTACTCGCTGCAGGTCCTGTGAAAGTCGCGGTGGGGAGGGGATGAACATGGATGTCAATTGAATTCCCAACATCAAGCAACCATATATTCAGCGGAAGTGGCAGCCAACTGCCTAGTGAAGAAGACCTTTGGGTCCAAAAGGCTAGAGACTTTGAGTCAACAATCCACATGAAAACAATGTGAAGTGGTGACTCCAAAGCCTGCGCCCACAGCCAAGTTTTGCTTCTTTGTGCCATCAATGACTCCAGAGTTGACTCAACGTAGCGCAAATCCAGGGGTGTCACCTCCGGCACTTGCTAGTTCTCAAAGGCACTGGCACTTGCACATGCAATCTTGTCCACTGAAGGGGCTGCCTCTTGCAACCTCTGAGGAGTAAGCTGTGGCTTCGGTGGCTCTGCTTTGGGCCTTAGACCGTTCGTCATGCATGTTTTGTATTTGTGTCACTTTTGTGAGGACGAACTTGTTCTGTGCGCAGCGCACGTCACCAACACCAAACAAGACACGCTGATGGCAAGGGCGGAGGTAGCGCAGGAAGAGGGAGGGACTCCTGGGAAGCGTCAACTTGCACTGTGTTGTACTCAGCGAAAACTCTGAAAAGACTCAAAGCATCATTTTACAGAAATTCCCTCCTGTTGGCAAGCTTTGCACTGTCGGCGGTGTTCAAGAATCTGCTGTCGTGCTTCCTAATTGCGTTTGACTGCGCATGCCAAAACCATCCCAGCCAGCTGAAGGACATGGCAACGTCTCAGTCAAGGCACCTCAATTGCAACACGCTTGACTCTGTCGAAGGCCTTGCGAAACTTTTCCTCTGCAACCTCCATTGCTTTGGCATGCCTGGCTTCTGCCTGCTTCCTAAGATGAATCGACAACTGGACCGACAATTTGATTCGCATCCTGCTCTTATAATGCGAGGTCTGAGAAGGCTCAAGTGTTATCCTTAAATAGAAAGGGGGGACAAACGTGCTAAGCTAAGGTACAACTTGGCGGTGAGAGCTTCCAAGGCAGAGTCCCGACCTCAAATTCACCAAACATCGACACGCAAAGTTTTGTGCTTAACGGGTGTGAGGTCTCAACGACGCAAAATAGTTGCCGGCTTTGGTAACATTGAAAACACTTCTGCATGCAATTAAATGTGCAAATACAAGCAGAATGCCTAGGGGTGGAATAACGACTGAATCTAAATGGTGGGCCGCTGTTTTGAATCTTGAAGCACCAGTCGGAGACTGAGCCAGGGTCTTCTGAGCATAGAATCATGTTGAAACTTCCTGAAGCCAAGCGTGACAAACAGTCTGCGTTCAAGGCATGCTTGCAACAAGTTGCTGTGGGCAACTTGACCAAGCAAAAAGAGTCAATACTTTTTTTTGTCAAAAAATTGTATGGTCCAATCTTGAGCTCGCACTTCTGCGAGTCAACAACCATAGAAGCTTCGTTGGAAGAGCACTCTGAAAGCATTTCCAAGTGGCAAATCAGAGATCTCATCTTCATGGCGCTGGATCGCTACTTGATACTTTGCTTCTGCAGCTGCCAATTGACGTGCCAGCCTATCAAGCGGACCAATGGGTATCACAATATCCCTTCATGACTTGCATGTTCCTCGTTCACTGACGGGAGCCACGGTTCCGAAGCAACTTGTGGGATGCCCTTTGTTCCTAGTAGCTTCTTGCTCCTAGTAGTAAGGCCAGGAGCCCCTAGTTTCCTAGTAGCGTTCTTGCTCCTAGTAGCACGGTTCCGTGCCCCGAACCTTTGAGCTGCGTTCTCCTCCTTGCGTTGCGCTGCTTCCTCACTGAGTTGGTGCTTCCTTAGACCAATCTCGGAATTGAACAGCGCTTTCTAACCAGTGTGTGTGTGGAGTTCCAACCGTCCCAGCAAAGTATATATCCACGGTCGTTGCAGGTTATTTTTCAGCACCTTTTGCATTGCCCGCTGTCATCCAAAACACTGAAGTTCGCTTATGCGCTGCTTGATGTTTGAACTGGCTCTCCTAGATTCTCCCGGGCACTATACAATCAGTAATTATACGAGTGTACATATTGTAGTTTGTTTCTTTTTCTGCAGCACTCTTCAGTTTAACCCATGGCTGCCTCAAGCAAGAATTGGTCTTTCAAGCCACTTGTTTTTGAAAGCTGTGCCGCTAATGGTTGCAGAATGCCGACCAACCTCCCAAGAAACATACTTGAAGGCCTTGGTAAGTGCAAAGCCCCACTGGATTCAGCTAAATGCTTCGGCCAAGCATCTCCTGAGCCCGGCTCTCTGCTGCTTCTAGCAGCCTGGTGAAACATGCGCGTGAGCTGGGATGTCCAAACATATTTTCGCGAAAGTTCCACCGTCTGAATGATTGAGCCGGTTTGTCTTGCGCTCATGGCTATCCTATGCGCTCATGGCTTTGACTGCCAAGGTGCGCCCACTGATGCTGCGCCGATGACAATGCCGCTGCATGGCGTCCCTCCATGTCCTTAAGTGGAGTGGCATCTTGACATTTGTCTGTCTCAAACTGCTAGCTCCATCGGGTAGATTTATATGTTGGGCCAGTCAAACCCAGTCCGGCCAGCTGTCTGCATGTCTTTGTGACAAGTATCTGACTTCATGTTGTCCAGCGCAAACCTCAGCTTCGGCAAGAACAAAAACCAACGAAAAAGAACATGTTGTTTGTCAAAATGCGATGTTGCACAGCGCATGCTGGCCCTCCGGCTTCTGGTCTAATACACAATTGAGAAGCAGAAACAGAAACAGCACACATCATACATGTATCTTGCGCATGCGGCCGGACAACTGATGCATGCTGTCCTTCTTGCCCATTTCTTGCTGAAACCTTGCATGCAAAGAAGGTGTCTGACAGCTGTCCTCTCATGTCCTCCCTAAGTTTCTGAGTTGTGGTAAGCCCAAGACGCATCAACACTCTAACATACTGCTTTCGGTCAATTGCATGCGAGCACAGCAAACAGCAAAACAAAAAAAGGGGTTTGTCTTGCTGCGGCAAATGTAACCTCGCATTCACGGAGGAGGGGGCCGTTCTTGTCTGACAGCCATGGGGCCGTTCTTCTGCAAGCTGCAAACGTACTTCTGCTGATTCCTTTGCCGCTTCGCATTTTGCCATTGTGGTACTGTACCTGAGAAGCCCAAAGAGTGGTGCATACCGTTGAGCACAGCTTTTTGAGCATCAGTTGTTGCAAAATGCAATAACTAGCAAACACTGCTCTGTATATTGGGTGGACTGAGCTGTCCAAGAACCTTTTCCCAGCGCTTGTGCAGCCAGTTTTTTGACTCATGAACAGCTTTCCACCCGATCAAGCTGGGTCATGTCATCGTCGGACAATAGACTGTGCCGGAGCGGCTGATGGTCCACATCGGCCAACGCAGTGATGTGTTTCTCTTCCTCAGGATTGGTGCGTTTGTCAAATTCACCTGTTCATCCAGTTCAATTTGCAAGGCAAATTGCCTCCACCAACTAAGCACAACTCTAAATAAGCACAAACACTGGCACAGAAAGGCGTCAAAGTCCAAAGGAAACCCTCACCGACCCATCGTCAGATGGTGCCGCTCTGGGCAGCTCTCCTTTGAGCAACTCTTGATTGTACGAGAAAAACCTTCGCTCTCAACACTAATGCGGAAATCACCCTTTCAAGCGTGTCGTGAGACCTTAACCACAAACCCCACCCAAAACCGGCAGGACAATTCCAGATCAAACAATTCTTCAGACACCTGGGTATGCCCAAATCATTTTGATTAAATGATTTTCGTGGAGAGTTGCCATTTCTCTCCGGAGAATCTCGGCCGCGTTGTCGTGCTTTTGTCTCACTGCTTCGAGCATGTTGGTATACTTCTCCTGAGCAACAGCGACCCCTAAGGAAAAGGCCCCAAAGACCTTCATTCATCCTTCAAAAGTGATCTGTAATCTTTTTAGGGGTTGGCTGGTGACAATCCCGCAAGCAAGTGTAGGCTGAAAAACAAGCTGTATGAAGGAGTTTGTTAAGGGATCGCCGCTCACAACCCCTAGTTCCGCAATGTTTTGTAGCCATTCACAACGCCTTCAAAAGGCAGCCCCCTACGCACCTGATTCGCGAGGGTTCTTTCAACTTGGCAGGATGCTACATGATGCTTTCGGAATTCATCAGGCTGCCCAAGTCTCGACTGTAATTTGATGTTTGATCTGTCCGGCTTCCAGTGCTGCCTCGAACTTCACCTGCCAAATGAACGATGCAGGCAGCAGAAGCAGTCAGGCATCAGCGTCAAACCAACTATTTGACCCTTCACCAGACAGTGACGACTGCTGCGCATGTCTCCCCTTCCTATCCATTCCTTCGAAGACAGCTGCACGGAGTATGGAATGACCTATATATACACTGTATATTACTGTATACAGTATACATTTCTGGGCACACTGAACTTGATTACACCGTATCTAGGTAGTTAAAAATCAGTGAGCCGAGGAACGATTTCACTTTGGTGGTCTAGCGCCATCTGTTCGCTCTGTTGGTAGTGCTTTTGCTCCAAGTCCTTCTGCATCTTCTCCATGGACTCCTGCAGCATAACACGACAAAACATGCAATTACAAATAAAACAATCGTGCGCACGCAAACTCCATGATTTGACTGCTCAAAAACAAACGAATAGCAAAACATCTTCCGTTGATGGCCAAGAGAGCCGCGTGCTGCAGTGGAAATCGGGTCATACACTAACGGAATAGACCAAGCAGAATCAATAGTCTATCTGACTGTATTACCCAACCCTCAACCTCCAGAACCGGCTTCAAGTCTAAAAGCGGACTTCGTGACTTTGTACCAATCCAGCTTTCTTGGAGAAAAGTTATGCTTTGTCCGATTATGTCTGCTTGGATTCATGAAACTTCGCCTGTCACTCCAGCCTTCCCACGGAGCTCCAAAGCCAGAAGCCGTGCCTCCAAGTGAGACATGGCTCACAACATGCTGACTCTGATTGACCGCGATGCGAGCGAGCCAAAGAAGCGCCTTTTGCCTCTCCTCGGCTTCGGAGAGGGTGTGGTGCCTGAGCAACGGCAAGCATCAGTTGTGCCAGTGCAAGACCAAACAGAACAACAAACGGCAGTGAATATACCTGATTTAAGGACAAGCTAGTGAAATGAACATGTCTGTCTTGGAGACCAACTTAGAGACGGCGCTCACAGCGTGTACAGTAGGAGCGAACGAAAGGAAATATATAAGATGGAAGAGCTGGGATGACAACAAATGAGATGAGAAGAAAGGTGATGTGAGGCGGTGCCCTCCCATGGTGGGTAGTTGAAGTTGGTGCCCCTCAAAAAAAGTCCAGGTTTGAACCTCAAAAGACAATTACAGTATATACTTCAAAGAGAACATCCAAACTCTTGCCTTGCCCCAATGTATGCCAAAGCATGCGAAGGATTGTGTGTATATTATCCACAATTCATCAAAAAGAGTGTAGCAACAGCAGCTTCCGTCACCTATAGCCCAAGAAAACTCACCACGCTCTCAGAATCTTAAGCAAACAATATATATATATATATCCGGACCCCTGCCCAGGAGGGTCCAAGGATTCTTAGGACCCCAAACCAATATGTCAGGCCAAATGGCATCAAATCTCGTTGGATCAGGAACTCAGAAAACTCCTGCTTCGTGGTAAGCTGTGCATCTCGGGCAGCTGCCTCCACTTGGCCTGGTTTGGGGTCACCCAGAGGGCCAACGATGGCTAAAATGGAATTGTATATTCCTATATTATACAATCTATACATCTCAAACTATCACCGTTCAATGTCGAACCTGCTGTCGTTGAACAGGAACTCTCGAGCAGGCTTGTTTATCCCCGTCGGCAGACGCACAAAATCTGATAAAGCCAACGAGGCTTCAGCTGCTCAATTCTGAAGCATGGAAAATATATGGCTCACCAGGTGGAAGATGTATCTGCCGCCGAACTACCTGAGTTGAGGGTGAAATTCGCATCACCGTGCATGACGGAAAAAAGCAACCATGACTATCTTTAGTGGATGACTAAATTTATATATATATAGAACTTAGAACTTTAGAAAGAAATCCCTTGCCAAGTTCGCAAAGGTGCAAGAGATACCAGCCAATTGGCCAAGAAACTCGGTCCTGCTCTCCCCATTTCTCCAGGGCCTTTGTGTCAGCCTTGAAGAAGTCAGCCACCTCCTTGCTGGCCAACTCTGGGGCTTCCAAAATGCAGTGATGCGTGCCCGCCGCGATGGACACTAATTTCACTTTGGGGGCCAAACCTGGAGCGAGGCAACTATCCAGCATCTCGCATGAATTCCAACGAGTACCGCAAAGTGCGAGAAATAACATGAAAGATGCAACTGAAATAAAAACATTGATTGATACGCATTGCATGTGTTTTTGTGTTGATCTTTAGATTTGCTTGCGTTATGAGTCTTTGCTGCGAATAGCCGCTGGAACTGTTCAGTAGAAAATGCGTCTGAATGCGTGATTTGTTGAATGCGCGGAGGTAAACTGGAGTCCAAAAAAACTCTGCCGGGACTGACGTGCTGACCCTGTGAAAAACATCCAACGTGGGTGCTCGGCGATGGTACGATCAACCCTTGCAGCCTTGTGAGACAACTTTTCACTTTCACTTGCAGGATTTCTGAGTGTGGTTCCTCGACCAATTCCCAATGCCTTGCACTACCGCTGTGCTGGCGACAGACTCCCATGCACGGCGATTTTGACAGGCAGTGCTACACATGAAAAATCAACACTTGAGCTGTTGGACAACATGATGCTCAGCAGCTACTCGTCCTTCTCCAGAAATGGTTTCTAGCTGTGACCAATTCCATGCTTGCCTTGTTTGCCTCCTCCAATTCTTTAAGGGAACTGAGGCGTGTGCTGCTTGTGTGAGTCTCGTGTTTTGTGAGCTTCCAGCTGGCCCTGGAAGATCTGCAAGTTGCGAATTCAGGGTCATGCACATTCGTAAGCCACGTGTGTGAATCAACCGCGTCACGATGCGCCACGCGTTCGGAATGAGGGCTCAAGCCCATCCCACGGTCCAGCCTGCAATCTCATACTGGGTGAAGGCGGGAGTCATGAAATCTAGGAGGCCACACACCACCAGGGTTGGCACTTGAAGCTCTGGGAGTGTGTAAGCCGATGAATGGCTGTCCAAAGCCTGCAAAATGCGCATCACATTGTTGCAGTGCTCAGGCCCATGCCCCGTAAGGTCCAAAGCGTTTGATGCCATAGTGTACTCAAGGCTTGCAGAGCCCAACAGGAATCCATTCAGTCTATGCAATGTGGGTGACACAAGCTCATTGAGCTTCACCCAAAGACTCTTAAACTTTTGAAATTCCTTCGCATCAGTGCACACACTGAATCGCACAAAATAAATAGCACTGGACAGCAATCGTGACATTACAGACCAAAAGAATAGCTGTGGCATGGGTTGGAAGGCAGTGTGCAAGGTGTGGCCATGAGAACCATTCACCAAAAACATGCGGTCCAAGGTTTGCGGGTAGAGGCCAGCATATTCAAGAGCACATTGCACACCGGTAGACCAGCCACAAACCGCATCCCACTTCTCCAAGTTGAGGTGCTGCAACAAATCATAGGCATCTTCACATAGTGCGCGAACCGAAAAGTTCGCAGTTGCAGATGGAGCCTCAGACTTGTAGAGACCACGGTAGTCCCATGTGATCACTGTAAACTCTTCTCTCCAGTCCTTCCCCAGGCTAGCACTCAAAGAATCCAGCAATGGCTTCCAAAGAATGTAGGAGCAGTTCACACCATTGCAAATTAGGATGTGCTTCTCGCCCCGGCCCTCAGAATAGTATTGGAGGCTTAGGCCGTCTCGACTTTTGAACTTGCCATTGACAGGGGGCTCGTTCTTGTTAATAGCCTTCAAAACCCTTTGCTCCAGGGTTCCAGGGCCTGTCCATGAAGGGAGCAATTTCATCTTTGACCTTTTGTAGGTCTGATACTTCTGGTAGGCCCAGAAGAAAAGAATTGGCCAAAAAATGGGAATAATCACGCAAATGATGCCAGCAATCCACAGAAAGCCGAGCTTGATCCATGATATGGCATTGGCTAGTCCACTATGAATTAAATACTGGGCCATCACGCGAAAGTATTGGCTCGTGACAAAGGACCAAAGGGACTTGCCCACCTCTGCCGGTGGGAGAGTAGCCATCACAGGAAGCTTGTGCACCTGTTGGAATCTAAGCCTTTCAAAGCCAAATGCTGCACTCCATGGGACTTCATGGCATGTACAGCATTGGAACTCCAACGCGTTGGTTTTGATACCAAAAGGTGCTTCAAGGAACAAGCACTGTGCATTATTGGTCATTTTGTCTTTCGACAACTCTGCAGTGTGATAGCTTTTCATGGCAGGCCTCCCCAGTGTTGTGCCAGAATCTCTTGCTGCAGACTTGAAGAATGTCGAAGATCATCGATTTCTCCGCTCCTGCTTTGCGGGTTGTTCGAGATTCTTTCATGTTCTTGCAACTAGCTGACATCTCAGTATTTCCTTGTGGACACTGGATGCACTGGGGGTGCATGTCCCTCAAAACATGTACAGTATATAGGATACTCGGGGTCATCCAAGCAAACGCTCGTGCCAACTGGCCAACTGCACCCAAGATTCCAACGTGCTGCAGCCAACTGCTCTCGCTGCTGCAAGAGTTCCTCACTCCTTTCCAGGCTCGCCTTGATTCGAGAGGCCACAACGATGGCTTGCGGGATCTTCGGAGGCAATATGTGCATGTTCCAAAAGGCATGAGTTAATTCACAGTGTTGTTGGCTATTTGAACCTGCCAGCTTTGGCCGTCAAGCTTCTGACATGGCCTTGTATGCAAACTCTTTGCAGTGCCCAAAGTCTGAGGCCTTGACCATTTCTGCTTGCTGCCTGAGTTCTCAGGAACCAATACTTTCAATGCATTTCCAGCTGCCATACAGCATGTGCACACAGCTAGGGCAAGAAAAAAACTAAAAAAGACTTGCTTCAGAAGAAAACTGCAGCCATTATGATGTTGGCAAACTTGCGGTAACACCTGAAACCACTGTGATTATACGATTAGACCTTTCTGATTACAGGCAAGGCCACCGCTCAAGAGCCATGTAGATCTCTGCAATGGCAGCTTCGTGTCTTTTTTCCTTGGGGAAAGATAGTTGTTTTGTGCTGGTTCAAGCTGAAGGATGATAATATGAAGATCCTGAACACCATGGCTAATGATGTGCCTGCAAATCCACAGCCAGCCTTTTATATAGTATAAACGCGTCAAAAATAAGTTTAATGTAATTGAAGCGGCTGCTTCACCCTTGTAGCGCGTCTCCAATTCTACTCGGTGCTTCTCCAACGCTCTTTGAATCTTCTGTTCTGCTCCTTTAAGCCTCGCCACTCGAAGCGAACTTTTGCAACTGACAACCCAAAATCAAAGGCCACGTCCCAATTTTTATTGCTTCAATAGTCACCAGTCACTAGTCACTAGTCTGTACCTGTTCAGCCTGTTCACCCAAGTCTTGCCACTTTTGTCTGTCGTCTTTCTCTTGTTCTTGGCTTTCTTGGCTTGATTAATCCGAGTTGAGTGGCGCTAGTTGGTGTTTGTCCTCCAAAGCTTGCAGTGCAGAGTGGTGTCGCTGCATGACCTTCAAAGCATGAAGCCGGAAAAGCAACAAAATGTATAAATGTGTCGTGAAACGACCTCAACTAATATAACGCGCATGCTTCTGCAAATTGCTTGTAAAGCTTAAGCATATGGCCAAGGCTTCTGTTTGCTCAGCCGCTTGCACCTCCGCTGCCAAACGGTCCTCCAGCAAACGCTGGCGCAAGGCCTGCGCCTCAAAGGCTACCTGCGCTCCAACGCTCAAAGACAAAAGCATCAGACACGAAAAACTGATGCAACAATTAACAAAACTGATGGCAAAAGCCTCGAAGGCCTGTCAAAATGATCAAGAAAAGACAAGTGGGTACCAGTTCCAGCGCCTCGTGTCTTTGGGCTTCGCTCTGATACTTTTCCTGCATAAGCACATTTTGCCATACATTATTGCTGTTCACATTGAGGATCTTGGAATATTATGCTCATAACATGCTTTAAAACTCTTTAATGTTTGTTGAGGGGAACTCTTGGAAAGCTCGGTCCTCTGCTTCCACACAAGCCTGCTCAGCTGCCAAATCCACTGTTGTCTTTAGTGCTTCCCCAGCTGCGTGACGGCTGGCTGTTGCAGCAACATACCTTTGAGAAGCATGTGTTGAGCTCAGGACAACTACGCCTTGCGTATGCGCAAACCCAGAGCTGCAAAGTTTCTCAAACAACCCTGCCTTTGTTCAGCTTCTTTCAGTTCCAAGGTGTGTTTCTCCAACGACTCCTGTTACGATCCGCCGCCATTTTGCCCACAAATGGCACAATTGAAATGCTGCCAACAGCATTCAGCAGCAAACATGAGAGACGGCTTGGAGACAACGCTTTTCTGCCATGGCTGCCATGAGTACATTTCAGCAGCAAAAGCCATGGCCACACCTCATACTTCAAGGTAGCCACATCCAGCGCTGCATTGTGTTCTTGCAAAGCTATCTGGTAGCCAGACCTGGACTCTTGAAGCTTTGAAGACAAGAAAAGCCACTGCAGTACTACTAATCCGAATTCATGTCATCTAAGCTGAATCCGACCAGTCCAACCGTCCAACCTGGATTGCTCTAAATCATTCTGCTTCCGTTGCATTTGGCTCATGGCCACGTAGCGAATCCAGGCCTGAATGTCAATTGGATGGTGCACGGCGTAATTTCTATGTTTGAACGCAAAGCTCTGTCCATGCTGAAGGAAAGCTATGCTTTGTAAGTCCATCCAGCACAAGGAGTCACATGAGTCACAGCTTGAGGTCCAAGCTGAGATACTGGTCTGCAAATATAGGGAGAGCTCCAGCTGCCCCATGAACATTGATGCTCGAGCGACCATCATTTCCGGCCGCTTCTTGGCTTCCTCAAGTCTCCGAGCACCTTCCACAGCCCTGGCCTCGCACGTCCAATCTGGTTTGTCTATCGGAGTCAAATGGGCCACATCGTATCCCTGAGGAGCAAAATTTCCAAGAACCAACCCTGTGGGCAAGAAACTAAGATGGTACAAGATTAGTTTCGCCAAGTACGAGTCTGAGATAGGGCGGTGCGAGGCCTCCTTTCTCATGGCTACCCAGGCGAACCACGCAGAGCAAAAACACAATGGAAGCAAAGCTCTGTCTGCGACCGTCGCTTGGATCTCCTTTGCAAAAGGCAAATGCAAGAAACAACTCGCACACACACAAAAAAGCTTGTGCTTCGCTTTCCCAACGGTTGGGTGCCGCTTCACATATGTCCAAACGTTTTCTGGCCAATTCTGTTTGAGTGTTGATTCATTTACTTGCAGCCCTTTGAGCTCACCTGTGTGGACTCATGGCAGGTCACCTTTTGTAGCTGGTGCATGTTGGCCCTTGTCTATCTTGTTTGTACGGTCATGCGAGCATATTCAAACCTATTCAAAATCAACATCTGAGCGTATGCCAAAACGTACTTTCAAGTAGAGGACATGAGTGGGCAAGGTTATTGTTTTTGAGGGGGGCCTATCGCCTCTGCAGGTTTTAGCCACAATGCCAACAAGCTGAACATATCCAAAAACTGCCGAAATATGGTTTTGCTTTTGATTTTGGGGGGGCCTATCCCTTTTGCACTCCCTTTTGCAGGTTCTAGCCAAATTACCAATTCCTGAAATTCACGACCGCTCCATGCAAAAATAAGTCATTGTACGTGTTGGCCTTTGCTCATCTGATAACCTCGGTGCCATCATTCACTCATAGCCGTGTGATACCTTGCCGTGCCCCGCATTCCTTTTGTGAACCAGGGCTCGGTGCAGCGAGCAAGTTGATGACTGCTTTGTTCTGCGGAGTTGAGAGCCACAGCCTTGCGAGAACGACAGGATGAACAGTGAGGAGAGCCAACTTAGACCTGCCAGCACCCAAAAGCACCATCTGAAACCCAAGAACTTGCGAGGTTGATAATTAATAAGACTCTAATTTTCTTGTGTCTGAAAGCCGAATCAAGAATTTTGAGGGTGTTGGCGTTTCCAGTCTCATCGGAAAAAGGAAGATACTCTATCCAAATGTTGTGCCAACCAAGGTGCAACGGCTATGACCAACGCTCAAAAGAAGTGTGAACTATTCGTGAATATCGAATGGGCAATGGACTTTCAAGGGTTGAAAGAACTCAGAACGCCGCAACCAAAAGGAACGCGGCACATGTCCATCACCGCTGTCCTGAAGGGAGTACATGGCTCCACGGGAGGTTCTGCATCTTCCCACCTGAAGAAGTCCAGCTGAGATTTTGTCGTTTCTTCCCTACGCCCTCGACCGCAAGTTGCATCCTCGCCTCTTATTGTCAAGTTATGGTTGTGGTGCCTACTATAATAAAGTCATCACAAGTTTTTGGCAATTTCATCCACCCTTTGAGTGCCCGAACCCAGAACCACCAAAGTGCCAACATGCACCAGGGTGGCCCAATCTCTTCTCGCCGTTGTGCCACACGGGCACAAAGCTCCAGGCCGTCGTCACGCAAAAGGATTGCCTCTTCCAAAACCTTGGAACGTGGTGGACGGGAACTCGGACAAGATCATTCTGCCGCCAAACTACCTTAACAAACCACTAAACTCCTTTAGGCCTTCTCATTTCAAACCAAACACAGCCAATCCTCTGAAGAATGTGCGGCATGCCAAGACCTCTATTCCGTGCTCGTATGACGTAAGAACAAAGTAAGAACATCCAGTCCAGGCAAACCCGTTGCCAGTGGCCATCTTTCCCGCTTGCCACAGGCAACTCGGAATGCCCTGCCCTTCGCCATCTCATAGGTCCACAGCTGCCAGACTCTCAAAAGCAACTCGGTCACGAAAAACTGCGACCTGCCAATACCAACGGGCTCACGACAAACTGCCAACAGCAACCCAGTTATGAAAAACATGCAACCGTATGTGCGATGCCATGGGGAAACCAATCGAATTCATAACTGGGTTGGCCTTTGGGCCTTGCCGAAAAATGTTTTCTCATTTGGCCATTTGGGGGTTTGGTGCACATACACTTAGTCTTATAACCAGACAGAAGTTAAGCACACCTTTTTACTCAACAACGCGAAAGGTCAGCGGTCAGCAGAAGCACCTGGCCAACAAAGGTTTAAAGCAAAGAAGTAAAGCAAAGCAAGAAACAAAGCAAAGAAAGTGGAAGGCGGCAACCGCACCCTTTTGGACAGTCAAACGGCGGTGACGTTTGGGGCCCATATGGGACCTTCCCAACTGTGAGGCTGAGGCTCTTGTGAAAATGGACTTGATGTGGTCAGGCCTTGGCCGCATGCCAGCCGCCTTTGGCTGGTCAGGCTGGTCAGACAAAGTTGAGCCTGAGCCATTGGTGGCCTTTGAAACTTTGCTAAACACGGCGCCATCCCTGTTGTCAATCCTTCGCACTTTCCGAAGAAAACCGCAAACATCACTTAAGCCATTGATGTGCCAGTAGTCAGGCTTGGACAGGTCAGGCTTGGAATGGTCTTCATCCTCCACTGTCCACTTGCCAGACTTGTCAGCCCGGGCCAACTTATGAAAGCTGGCTGCCAAATCTGGATAGACAGTCCTGAACCTCTTTGTCAACATGAGCCTGGCTATCGTCAAGCCTAGCGACTTCTGAAACATCATGACATCAGGGAAATGTGGCCGTCTAAGATCGAGTTCCCTCCACTTGTTGGACTGAACCACTGCACAGCCAAGCGCAACCACGAGCAACGCTAACTGGACAGTGCCTCTCTTTGGAGGCGCATCAGACGCAAACAGAACGTCAGACCTCATGTTCTTGACCACGACATAGTCAACCCTGTTGTCAAACACAGCGTCATTGCAGCCCCAGGCCATCACAACAACAGACCCCTTTGGCTTGTCTTGCGACACATCAGACAAGGGGACATCGGCCACATTGACAACCACATTCCACTGTCTCTGGGCTTCCAAACACACCTGACCAGGCTTGAAAACGCCCCCAGGCCTCATGTTGGTCAGTGAATGCGTGCGGAACGCCGACCTGTTGACAGTCCACTGGTTTTTGGTGTAACTTCTGAACTTCTGCAGGCCATCATTCTTGTCAGGCTGGTGTTGTCGACGTAGTCGCGGAAAGAGGTCACCAAGCTTCTTGCCTGCCACTGTGTTTGCCTGGTCGGACCGGTCAAGCATGCGTTTGATGGACTGTCTTCGGGCATTGACGACAGACACTTCACTTCCAGGCACGCCAGCGTCAGACCTCTGCTTGTATAAAGCAAACCGTCTTCCATGGTGCCTGAGCCAAAGACCTGCCCAATCCCTTGAAAGGTCAGTCAAGCCATGAGCTGCTTGAGTGAGGCCACTCTTCTCATCAGCTTTGTTCCTGATGCAAATTTCATCCACCTTCTGTGGGCCACCCAACACAACCAATAGCATCTCGTCCATGGTCAAGCCAGAGTCCAACATTGGCCCACAGTGCTTCTCCAACAAGGACTTGGTCAAGCTCAGGCTTTGTTCAACTGCAACCGTAGTTTGCTCTATGGAACAATACCACGCTATCAAGGGCGTGACAAACCTCAGCTCACGCAAGTTGCCAAGTTTGGTGCCCCACCAAGTCTTGTTGTCAATCTCGTCAGTCTCAGTCGTTGTCCTGCAGGGGTTCATATGTGACTGTGGAAAGCATTGGCTCTCAAAATGACTGTCTTTGGTGAGCCTGAACTAAACATCAAATCAGTGTGACCCTAGCGCAAGATTCAACTAACTGAAGCGGTTGACAGGACCGGTCCCTCCTCTTGGATAGACAAGCCTCAGGGCACATGCGCTGAACTCTTCTCCCAGCTTAGCGTCGTCGCCAGGGTTGGACAAGATGCGAGTCCCCTGAAATGACCTGGCCAAAGCAATGGCACGGCATCTTAGGTCAGTGTCAATCTTGGCTGCTGCATTCATGTCAGACCGCTGCAAGGCCACCATCTTCTCCCACCGCTTCAAATCAAAAAATGCAAAGTTGAGGTGAGTGCCTCTGTCCGGAAACTCTGCAGTAAGTCTATCCTAAGTTGACCAAATTCAGTACTTCAGTTGAGTGAACAATGTATAAATATAGTTATTAAAGTTTAACTTACACCAACTGACTACAAAATCTAGGACACTGCGGAGGCTCCAAGCTTGCCTCAGCAATACTCCTCGTGGATGTCATAGCTCTCTTGATGTCATCCGCCCCTGTTGGGCTCCAGAGAGTGAACAATCTGCTGCCAACAATGAGTGGTGGCGTTTCTTTGGCAACCTTTATGGCCATAGCGGTGTATGACCTGAAGTCTCAGCACAATCAAAATGACCAGTGACGAACATCCCAACAGCTACCTGAACTGGTTTCTCTGCTTCATGGCTTCCTCGACAATTCAAGTCTTAGTCCTAAGTGTCTTTTGACTTAAACCTGTCGGTGAGAAAGCAATCTGATCATCAAAAAGCGGTCTTTATGATAAACAAAGGGCTGGTTCTGGTCTTCATCAGGCTGGTCAGGCTGGACCAGAATCCCACCATCAATGTACAGCTTGCTCACCCTGGACCTGTAAGTGGTCTTTGGCCAGCGCTATGTCAGACAACCGCTGCGCCTCAAATATTTTGACAAGGCGCCCCGCGTCATCACCCCAATCTGCCATAAGGCCAGCTATGGCTGCGTGGTGAGGGGTCATGCGTTCAAGCATCGACAGTGCTCGATCTCGTTCTTTGCCAGTCAGACGTAAGTCAGCCGCGCGGAGTGACAGGAGTAAGGCAATGGAGGACTGCAAAAACACATACCTGCGCCGCGGGACAACTGTGGATTCCCACCTGTGCGCTGCAAAAGACATATGCCGGAGAACAGTTGTCAAACCTGTACTGGATTTCGGCCCGAAGCCGTTGTCAAGCGTGGCATTCCTTGGATCCATCACCATGCCAAGTGGTGATGTGGGCAGAGTTGAATGAACTAACACTCTCAGATGCCTATTGCACAACGACTCGTCAGTCAAAAGCCCGAAACAGGTGCCAAGCTTTAACTATTAAGACTAAAACAATTGCTGAGACACAAACAAGCCACTGGGCAGCAACCAGGGTATACCGCAACTTTTGCGAATACTGTATTGACGGAACAAGACTATGTTTCGAGTCAAACACCTGAAGTTGGGTTGGGGCAGCCAACAATCACAGAAGGACCACCCACCCCAAAAGGACAACAACCAATCATTAATAAAAGGTTCAGCCTAATGACGAGCTCCAAGAAACGTCAGACCACCATCCAGCAAAGTCAGTCTCCACTTGGCATGGCGTCATGCAAGCAATTCTGATGGTGTGAACCGGATCCTTGATGCACAGGCTGACCTTCCCGAACCCACATGTCAGATAGGCACGGGCCTTCGTCATTGGCCTCGCTCCATCTGTCACAATGGTGTGAACTTTTGGCAATATTGAGTCATACCTGACTGGCCGGCAAACAACATTTAGAGACCCTCAACAGCCTGGTACACTTATGGTACACAAACACATCAGGAACACCAAATTAAAAAAACTGATGAGTCAGTCGACTGGGTTGCAATGTTGCGTCAAACACGCCATCAAGGCTTGTGCACGCTGCCGGCAGTAGCCCTGCAATGCTCTGGCAAACCTTTATGGCATAGTCTTCGTCGTAGTTCTGCAAGTCACCACTTCTTGTGGGAACCTTGAACTTGGCGATTCAACAATTGTCATTAGGGTCTTGTGACAACAATAATGACGACTCCGACAAAAATTGTTAAAATCATGCTCAAAGCAGCCACACCAAGTAACCCACGGTCAAACAAGACATGCCCCTTCGTTGTCAATCTGGCTGCCTGGAACCGAACCAAGCGGTATGGATCCTTGTCATCAATTGTCAGGCACAACGAGGAGCAGTCAGACAGAATGGAACGGTTGTGTTCTCGCACTGTTTCAGCCATTATTGGGCGCATGTTGCGAATCTGCTTCCTGTAGGGGCCCCTTGATCTGGCATCTGTCAAGCTTGTCAAGTACTCTTCCACATTCATATGTTTCTCCTAAGTCTGGAGGCGAGAAGACTAATGATCAATGTCAGTAAACAGCCACATAGGAATTTTTTAAACAAATAATAAATAATATAATGGCTGAACATGCCAAAATTCGGCCGTGTTGAATGAAGCATGTCGCAGCATCTGCCAAACACGGACCCAATCCTTCACCTGAGGGACAGCTCCCCGCAAAAGGTCAATGTTATCGACATTGTCAGACATGATGTCAATCAGAGTCTTGACTGGCCCAGGGTCCAAGAAGTTCTGACAGGCCAATTTGTGCATTGAAGAACGCATGTGCTGCACAAAGCAAGAAGACTGCATGCTTGCCAGACTGCGCCTCGGAGTGTCCACAATTTATAATTACTAGTCAGTTTAAAAATTAAAATTGAGAACAGTCCGCAATGAATGCATCAGACTGATGCCCGGCCGGGCATTACACAGTGACTGTTCAGTCAGAGTGAGGAGGGTAGGAGGTGGTCTTTGGCACAGACACTGAAAATCATGCTAAGGGCTAAGATGCCTCATGCCCTTTTGCCCCCTCAGTGACCAAACATTGTCAGTCAGTCCTTAGTCACTGGTGTGATTGGGCTCATGTACGGTCAATGTCATTTCGTCCAAAACTACCTTGATCACGACTCCTTTGAACGGCCGTTCTGTCCCACTATTGCTTTGACCAAGCCGAGATACACTTCAAACCTGCTCCATTTTGTGAAGAATCGACGCCGTTTCGATGTCAAACGCAGACCCTTGACAGATTCGCTCTGGGCGCGCACCACCAGCAAGCTGCACAAATGGCAACCCAAGCCCCACGAGCCGCCAAAGTGCGCTGGCCGTTCCGTCAGCCAAATG